GCTCTGACATGAAACGGCATTCAAGCGGGGCTGATTACAGGTTGGTGCCTGCCAAGACTAAGGCGATGTTTTAAGCCACCCGAGGCCAGGCTCGTCAGTAAATAGTCCGAATCCGGTCAGTCATGTCCGATCTGTGACGTTGTTATTGTTTCGGTTTGACAAACTTTACAGCCACCGGCTATGTGGTTGTGAAAGGGAGCCGCACTTATGCTGTCTGTCGCCTGACCTGGGAAACGGAGCTCTCAACACTTGACGCCTGAGATAACGAGGCGCTTACGCCTTGTAGTATTCGATTGGCGTATATCCGTCTTGGACTTTGCGGCCGTTGATCGAAGGAATAGGAACGCATTGACGCCCAGGTCAGTAAAGTGTCCGCCAACGGCCACGCCGCCGCCGTAGCTGCTCGCCTTTCGCCACCGAACATCCAACTTCCGTTCCAACTTGGGGTTCTTCAGCTTTTAAGTACCTGCGATGTTCCTAGAAATCTGCTCAATCCCTCTCACCGAATCTCTCTCGCCGCAACTAGGCGACTGGGCTGGGCCAATGAGGTGACCTTTAGGGCGCTTGTACGAAACAGACCTATGTGCTGATATTCCACTTTTTTTTTGTATAAATACACTATTGTTTCCCTAAACAAGTCATTACGAGCCTCTGTGGCATTTTTGTTGTCAGAGGATGCAGTTTGTGCACCTTGGTTGTGCACCTTGGTTGCACACCATGTGCTTGGCTCAAACTAGAACAGAATACATAAGGGCAATAAAGGCAATCGAGATTGGCAATCGGCTGCTCAATCTCGATGCTGCACCTGTTCGGCTTGTCGCTGTTGCCTGTCCATCAAAGGTCCTTGCGCTTGCGCTCAATCCAGGAGTGGTGGTGCCGCGCTGACTTTGAGTCGTGGTAGCCGGAAACAATGCCGTAGTGGTACTGCGACCTGAACTGCCATATATTAATTCTGTCGCACCAATGGCCAGGCTTATCGTGGTCCTATCAACAGTAATGATTCCACCAGGGGTCAAGGTTTCCCCTCCTATTATAAATACTGTACCGCCACCCGACACCGCAGTATATGTTTCCGCGCCGATAGTAAGTAGAGGCGGATTTGTAACTACAGGCTCGACTTGGGGTAAGATGGAGCTTGTCTGCCCATTTACAACCAGTGCTGTAGCTCCAGAGGCTAGTGAAATAGTTGTTCCAGATGTGACTATTGAACCACCAGCACTGAGCAGTATTGATCCAATTAGATACGCAGTCGCGGTTCCAGGCAATGGCCTGAACGTCACATCTCCTATTGTCAGGGGCGGCGCGCTGACATGCGAAGGAGCGGGGTCTATCAGTGTCGATGTCACGTCGTTTATCACAACGAAAGAGGCAGATGATGCTAGTGACAACGTAGTGCCAGAGACCGTTATCGCCGGACCTCCAGGAATAAGAGTCTTGTCAGCGACTAGAAATCCTGGCTCTGAAGGTCTCGGAAGAGCACTGAATATCTCGTCACCAATGGTGATGGCGGCTGGTGACAAGGCTGCCCCAGTCTGGGCTCTTATAGTCGAGGACGCCCCATTGACAACCAACACATTTCCAGAAGGATTCAAAGAAATTGTAGTTCCAGAGAAAGTCACAGCTGCTCCGCCAGGAAGCACCGTCTGTTCAGATACAACAAATGTAGGGGCTGCGTCAGGCCTGACTTGAGTAGGTTGTGCTACTATTGTCGAGCCACCAACTACAAATTGAGGCACTCTGGTTGTGGTTGGTAACGGCGCAGAGCCCGTAGGTAAAATTTGGGTAGAGCCACCAATGACAATAAAGGAAGCCGAGGGTGCAAGACTAACGATTGTACCATCGACAGTTGCGACACCGCCTGGGGTCAAAGTTTGACCTGGAGCAATGAGGAATTGGGTAGCGGCGTTTGGCGTTAGTGTAGATGGCCCAATTGTTAACACTGGTGGTGCAAGCGACGGAAAGATTTGAGGTAGTCGACTTGTCTTGTCGCCCACAAAGATAGCGGTAGGCGAAGGTGCTAGAGAAACAGGTGTCCCACCTCCAACGTTAATGGCAGGGCCTCCTGGCTGCAGTGTTTGTGAACCAACTACAACTTCGGAGGAAGGGCCGATTATGACGGGATTTGTTCCAATCGAGCCCACAGTAACTGATGCGGGCCCACGTAATTGTGCTGCGGAAGCTAAATTAGGAAGATTGCCTGCCATTAAGCTGTCATCCGTGGGTTTGGGACCAGTGCCCGGAACATCCCAGTCAGCGACTGTGAGTGGAACAACGCCTGGAGTTGTGCCATGACCATTCATGATAACAGGTGGCTCGTCGAATCCAATGACTGATGACTCCAAGTGACTGAATAGAGGGCCCTGATTCGGCCTATTTAGATAGTACAGATTGACAACAATAAGAACAGTTATGGTAGCCTGGAGCTGTCCAGCCTGGCATCCTGAATATGGTATTTGGTCTAGGAAACCTTCCGGCAGAGGACCATTGGCACTATCCTTTTCCTCAAGATTTTCGAGCTTGTAAGGATAGGCTTGCGCAAGCGGAAGCTGTACTGTTTTTGTTTCGTTGCCAGTCTCAACCTCATAGGCAGTGAAGTAGACGAAAGGCGTTGCAGATGTCTCAGACTGAGAGACGTTTGGTGCAAGCGTTACAACGGCCGTGGCCGATGCAAACAAGTCCGGATTGTACAAGTCGTATGATGGAGCATCTTCGAGAGCGATGACACCTCCTGGTGGAAACGGCGCATATCCTTCCGATCGGTAGATGACGGATGTTGCAGCAGCACTGGGTCTTACTGTATATTCCTCGCACATTGTCAAGGTAAAGTCGAAGGCGGAAAGATATGACTCTGTGGAAGTACATGCAAAATCGAACGACAGTGCACTGGTTACGTCAAAGGTGGCGGTCGGAGGTACGAGTGTCAATGACTGAGAATTTGAAAAATTCAGTGTTGAAGTCACCATTGTTCCAATTGGATAGCTATAGGTCGGCATGAACCAGTAGTCGAGGCTTGCACCGTTTATATTGATTGTACATGCTGGGCTTGAATTGCCAGTAGAGGGTCTTGCAGTGCCATTGTGAAATACGGGGAATAGCTGTGAAGTCGCAGCTAGTAAGTGACCAGGAGACGATGATGCGATATTTGAAGGGACAGAGAGAATCTGTGGATCAGGAGTGACTATTTCGGTTGGTCGCAAGGTATCATGAGTTGTAGGTATTCCTGTAGTCGGGCCATCGGCGCTGTGCAGCCCAGTTTCCTTTGGAGTGATTAGAGAGGCGCTCACGGGCGGTGTTTGAGTAGGCAGCGATAGGTCAGATATAGAGGTTGTATTGAGGTATGGGGCTTGATGGCTTCGTCAGCATGTAGCGATGTTGAGCCCCAAGGCACAAAGATATTGTTATTACCGCGACGATTGAATACAGCTCCCTCAGTAAACGAAGCCAAGTAGAAAGTGACAAGCGAGAGATATGAAGACATGTCGGTGACAAAGGGGTGGCCATGCAGGCACTCTAGGGGCAGCGAACGTCGTGACGTTTAAGTCGTCCCGGAAAAATGGTAGACATGCGAGGGTGCAGGAACAATCTGGGTGAGCGGGTGCAGGGCGTTTTGGGCCTATCGGCTGGCGCATTCAAGCGACGGTTCCGAGGGGAGACGTGCAGAAGGGAGCTAGACAGAGCGAAGTCCGATATTGGCTTTTCAGTTCTTTTGCCGTCCAGATTCACAATGAGCCAGTTGGACGAGCCTGGCCGGGTACAACACGCAACCGGTGACCAATCAACGACAGACGCTTGCTGGCATGGCATGGCGTGTCCGGCCAGGTTGACGTTTGAGTACGGCTGGCGTGCAGAATCAGGCGTCCAGCCATTTGGTGGATCAGCGTGAACGGTTGCTTGAATGTGTGGATACGAGTCAGAACGGTGTGGCTCAACTTGGGGCTTGCACTATGGCACAGAGACGGTTTGATGGGTGTCGCAGGTGGCACAATGTTGGATGGATTGGATTGATGGTGTTGGTGTTGGTGATGGTCGTCGGCTTGTCCTGAGGCGGTGGCGGGGATGAGGTGGCAGGGGTGGAGAGAGCAAGGCAGGTGCAGAGCTGAAAGTTCACTCTAGACAGTCGCAAGACAGGACATGGTGCTTGAATGCCTGCCATGTTGGGGGGAGTATGCCGATCCCATGGCGGTTTGGGCGCAAGCGCATCGGACTGTAGCTCGGAAAAAGGATCGAGTGGGTGCGTGCGGCGATCAAGGGATCCAGAATGCGCCGCCCGCTGCCTGCAACGTCGGCGGGTGGCTGTCTAGCAGCAGTCTCGTGCTCTGCATTGCGCAGCCCTCTGCAGTGTCAAGGCGGCATGTCTAGAGTACACCTAGGTGGAGGCGTATGTGGGCGCATGTGTGGGTATAGTAGTACACACTGAGGGGTACTCAAGTGAGGTGTAGAGTATAGTAGGCCCGCCGCCACCACTACCACCACCCCAGATTGCGTGCAGCAGGATGAGGGGGGGAGGACGGGGCGTCGAATGCCTCCCGGGTGGCCCTTGTTCCGTCCACGGCACTCATCTACCCTTCATCTACGATGCTGCACACAAATGCCGGCTGTAGCCTGTCAGTCCCAGCCAATGCCATCGTCGCCGTCGTCGTCGCATTGCAAGTTGGGAGGAACGGGGTGGAAGGCCGCTGTTGCCCAGCCATGCATGGCGGCGGCAAAGGGGCAAAGCGGACTAGAGCGTGCTTTGAAGACTGGGTATCTCGGCTCAGATTCCCCAGGGTACCGCCAATCTGCATCAACAGTTCTCCGTACACGCTCTTTTCCCCGTCTGTCTCTCCGTTGGCTCTATCTGCTCCTCTTCTCCTTCCTCTTCCTCCCCCATTCCTTCGTAGCGCCACTGGGCACAAGCAATGTCGCTCAGTGATGCTGTGCCCTGCAAATCGTCGTGGTTGAGTGGCCTTCGTTGCCTCCTTGGACAAGCCGCCTAGTAGTACGCTTCTTAAACACGGATCATGGTTGCTTCGCCCAGCCGTCGCGGCTTCATCTCGACAATATGCCTTCTCCTCGCCGCCACGCTACTGCTGCCCTGTCTCGCCGCCGACTATGAACAGCAGAACATCACCGAAACCCCCAACTACAAACTACTCCCTGGTGTCGCGTCGGTCCCAGCGCCCCTCTCTGTTGCGCCCACCCAGGACTGGATGGGAATTGATGGCGCATGGAATACGTTTTTCGTGCGCATGGGCGACCCTGGCCAGCCTGTGCGACTCCTGGTCTCCACCGCCAGCCAGCAGATCTGGGCCATCAACTCCCTCGCCTGTATCGTCAACGTTACCGATCCTACCACGGGCAACATTACCGAATTCAACGTCCTGAATACAGACTGCCAGGAAAGCCGTGGCACCTTGTTTAACACCACTATTTCCAAGAACTGGCAGGAGAAGGGATACTACCAATTATGGATTGAAAAAAACCTGGGCCTCACAGGCAATGGCCTGTATGGCTTTGACTCGGTCGGATTGGGAATAAGGAGCGACGCAGGCCCGTCCGTCGCCAATACAACAATCGGCACCTTGGTCACACCAAATTTTTGGCTCGGCCACATCGGCGTGCATGCGAAACCCACAAACTTTTCTTCCTTTGAGGATCCTGTTCCAAGTTACATTATGGATTTGTTCCAACAAAAAACCATACCAAGTCTATCATTTGGCTACACAGCTGGCGCCCAGTACCGTAAGCCCACCCCCGCTCGCAAATCGACCATCACTGACACGTACCTGCAGGCGATCAAACCATTCTTGGAAGCCTTACGCTTGGCGGATACGATGCTTCTCGCCTTATTCCCAATGACCTCACCTTCGTCTTTGCACCAGACAACGAGCGCGAGCTGGTCGTGGGTCTGATTGGCTTGAGTGCTAGTACTGCAAACCAGAAAGACATTGATCTCTTGAGGGGCGACAATATTACCCTGTTCATTGATTCGACTGTCGCAGAGCTCTACCTCCCCGTTGAGATTTGCAAAGCCTTTGAAGATGCGTTTGGATTACGTTATGACGAGGCTACGGATCTCTACCTTGTGGATGACGCTCTTCACCAAACACTCTCATCGCAAAACCCCAGCATCAGCTTTACCCTTGGACAACAGTTTAGCAGCAGTGCGACCGTGCAAATTACCCTGCCTTATGCCGCCTTTGACCTGGAGGCATCTGCACCCTATCGGGGACTGCAACAAAAGACTAGATACTTTCCCATCCGACGAGCCAATGTGTCAGACAACTGGACACTAGGGAGGACCTTTTTGCAAGAGGCGTATTTGACAGTGGACTGGGAGCGTCAGAATTTCACGGTATCCGCTGTCGACTGGACGTTTGGAAAGGCGCCGCAGATACTCCCAATTGTCTCACCTGCCTACTCGGTTGCTCACTCCAAGACATCTTCAAAAAAGCCCCTATCCCCAACCGCAGTCATTGGCCTTGCAGTGGGAGGTGGTTTTTTCTTTGCCTTGGTCATATGCGCCGTTGGATTGTGGTTTTGGCGTCGACGCACTCAACGGAGACTGAAGGCGATTGAGGCGAAATATCAAGCCCAAGCTGTAGAAGCTGCCAAGAACGTGGAAGAACCTTCGGCTCTAGCAACACGCAGCAGCACAGAGGGAAGGACGGTTATCGCCATGGCCGAATTATCCAGTGATGCTCCTGATAATCATCAAGCTGGTTCGAACGCGCAAGAGAAGGGACTGATGATGGTTAGTGAAGCCGACGGCGCAGAAAGACAAATCTACGAAATGCTTGGTGACATACCGGCTCCCCAAGAAGCTGACGGGCGCCAACTGTCAGAGAAAGAGTCCATGGTAATACGCGAAAGGATATATAACGGAGTAGATCCGAGTGGAACATCAGATGTGGCGCAGGAGCCTCGAAACAGACTTGCACCCATCTCTCCATCCGAGGTCTCCATTGTGAGCAGCCAGCTCCAACCTGGGAACGTATCACCCACTACCCCGCGAACACCACGCGACGGTGCGCTCTTGGAGACTCCAAACCCATTTCTGCACCCGCCGCCATACCGCCCACGCGACGGCAGACGTACCGAGACAGACGAGACGCCCATCTCGCCGTTGGAAGACTCAACGGATGCGTCCCGGCGGCGGTTTTCTTACGAATCATGAGCTGCAAAAACTGAGTAATCAGCGACAAAACACACACACACACACACACACACACACACACACAATCTATATATTACGACAGGAGTTTTGTTTGTTTGGCACACTTGGCTGTGCGTTTCTCCAATTGATGGTACGCGATACGGCGGATACTACGAGGGAAACGGCGTTAGGGGGTTAAAGGGCATACTTGATACCTGCGTCATTTGGGCATGAGAATGCGGAATACGCACATGGGCCGAGGGAGGACATTTGGACGTGGCGGACAAGGCCAGACGGTGCGGGTGAATTGGTGCTGTATCTACATATATACCCTTTGTTGTCTTTCTTTTTCTTGATACAATAATGCCATGCATACATACCATGCGCGAGACCCACGCGCTTACGTACCCAAGCCGCCCATGTCGCTCCCGCACCTCGGCCCATGAAGCAGGGCAGGGCCCAAGTGGGTTTATGTGCAGCCACAGCAAGAAGGACAACGGGAGCTGGATGTAGCGGGCCCACTGTGCTGATTACACAGAGTCTTATTAGTGTAGGGCAGTGCGGATGCAGCGGTCTGAGCAGCATGGCCATGTGCTGCGCCTTGCCTGTTGCAGGCAGGCTGAACCCCTCGTCAGCGCTGCGACTGGAGACCAACCCCACCACGCCGTTACGGAGAAGGCGAAGGGGGGCACAGCACGACCGCTTTTCTGCCTTGCCGCATCCTCAATCGCCTTCCGCATACTTCAACTTTCCCGGTGAAGAGCCTGCGCCCTCTCTCAGCGTCCCACCGCCTGCACACTCGCCACAGCCGCCGCCCCGCTTTGTTCGCAGCAGCAGCACTCCTGTCATCACATTGGCCGCGCGCCTAGCCTTGGGCCATATCTTCTGCCTGCCGCCTGCCATTCTGCCTACTTTGTGTCCCAACCTCTGCAGCCACCTCGAGCGCGCCATCTCCTTTACTCTCCCCTAGACTCACTCCCTGCCGCCATCATGGGAGACCTTGCCAACCGCAAAGTGTTCAAGGTACGCACATGTCTGCACCATGCTGCTCCTCGGGATACGTGCTCACGGCCTCCAGGTCTTTAACCAAGAGTTCATTGTTGACGAGCGCTACAATGTAACAAAAGAACTCGGACAAGGTGCCTACGGCATCGTATGGTGCGACGACAGCGACGCCGCCCTGCTCGCTCCATGCTGATTGTGTCCTGTAGTGCGGCCACCAACAACCAGACGGGCGAGGGTGTAGCCATCAAGAAGGTCACCAACGTCTTCAGCAAGAAGATCCTTGCCAAGCGTGCCCTGCGCGAGATCAAGCTGCTCCAACACTTCAGAGGTATGGCAACTACCCCCGCCCCAGCTGACAATGCTAACGTCTGGCAGGACATCGCAACGTAAGACAACCCCACTTCAGCACACGCATCTCTCCCCATATCCTCTCGATACGACACTAAACCTTGCCGCACAGATAACATGTCTCTACGACATGGACATTCCTCGTCCCGATAACTTCAACGAGTGCTACCTATACGAGGGTACGGCTTACTCTTACTTCCCCCTTGTAAGACGGTACTGATGTTGGTGCAGAGCTCATGGAATGCGATCTGGCAGCCATCATCCGATCTGGCCAGCCCCTGACTGACGCTCACTTCCAATCCTTCATCTACCAAATCCTATGCGGTCTCAAGTACATCCACTCGGCAAATGTCCTGCACCGCGACCTTAAGCCTGGTAATCTCCTTGTCAATGCCGATTGCGAACTCAAGATTTGCGATTTTGGACTGGCAAGAGGATTTTCCATGGACCCTGAAGAGAACGCAGGCTACATGACCGAGTATGTCGCTACCCGATGGTACAGAGCCCCTGAAATCATGTTGAGCTTCCAGAGCTACACAAAAGCCAGTAAGTCTTTGCATACACGCCCCCACATAACTTACCCCACATTTTGAAAGTAAGCTAATTCTGGCTAGTTGATGTGTGGTCTGTAGGATGTATTCTCGCTGAGCTGCTTGGAGGTAAGCCCTTTTTCAAGGGCCGAGACTACGTCGACCAGCTCAACCAGATTTTGCACTACCTCGGAACACCAAACGAAGAAACCCTGTCGCGAATAGGTTCTCCTCGTGCGCAGGATTATGTCCGCAATCTGCCATACATGCAGAAGATGTCATTCCAGTCTCTCTTCAAAAACGCAAACCCGGATGCGCTTGACCTGCTAGACCGCATGCTTGCTTTCGACCCATCTAGCCGTATTTCAGTTGAGGAGGCCCTGGAGCACAGGTACCTGCAAATCTGGCATGACGCATCTGACGAACCTTCATGCCCAACGACCTTTGACTTCCAATTTGAAGTTGTCGAAGAGATTCCAGAGATGAAGAAGATGATCTTGGATGAGGTCAGCCGTTTCCGCCAGATGGTTCGCGTACAGCCCGGTGCAGGCGCCGGTGCAGCCCAGGCCCCTCAGGTCCCGATACCCAATAACTACGATCGTACAGGATATGAGGAGCCAAGGCCACAGGAGGCATTTAACCAGGGAGGTTGGAATGGCAGTGACCTCGAGCGCGATCTTCAGGGACTGGACGGCCGAATGCGATAGTTGAAGTCGGATAAAGTATCATTGGGTGCAAAAGATTTTCTCAGTGGCTCGAGCGTGTAAATTTTGGAACAGTTTGGGTACATCTGGCCCTTGTGTAATTTCTGGTGATATGCAACCTTTCATTCCTTCACACATGCGTTCCAAATGCACTGTAATGCTCAAGGCGACTCTTCTGTCGGCTCATGATGAGGTCTTACCACTATCTCAGCACTCATATCTCGTTTATATCATAGTAATCCTATGAAAAAAAGGGACTGTTGAGTACTGTGCTGTAAATAATTGCCTATGGACGACTGATTCAAACACGTAGTGGCTGTTCACGCTGAGCCAGACGTAAAATCAGTTCGCGCGTCAGATATGGTCCGTGCACCTACCAGGGTTCTCTAGCGCAGTAACTTTTTCGATTCCGCGAACTTTGGCCTTGCGCTTCAAGTCGAACTTTTTTTTCTGTCCTTCTACCGCATTTCGGACCACACACGAATTGACGATTTCCACAATGTCGCCCGCCGCTGTCGAGTCGAGCAATAAGAGGAAGCGATCTCACAAGAGCAAGAAGAGCGCAGAAGCAGCAGCGGCACCGGCGCATAATGGCGTAGAGAAGGCGCGCAAGAAGGCACGCAAGGCCAAGGAAGCCGAAGCTGCTGTGGAAGAGCCGGCTGCTGCAGATGCTTCCGTACAGGAAGGCAGTGATGAAGAGGACGTCGAAAACCAATCCCAACCCAACAAAGACACTGCGGAGGCGACTGCTCCAAAAGAGGCCGAAAATGGTGATGAGGCCGACGATAATGACGATAACCAGCTTGCGGACTTGCCCTCTGGCACTGGCAGCAACGCTCTCGATCTGCCCTCCGGTACCACAATGCCGACACCAAACCCGGTGCGGTTCGAAGAACTAAATCTCTCTGAGCGTACAATGAGCGCAATCAAGGAAATGGGCTTCGAGAAGATGACGGAGATTCAACAAAAAACAATCCCACCACTACTGTCGGGCAGGGATGTGCTCGGTGCTGCCAAGACGGGCAGTGGAAAGACGCTTGCTTTTCTCATACCAGCCATCGAGATGCTTTCGCAGTTGCGATTTAAGCCTCGCAATGGTACTGGTGTGATTGTAGTGAGCCCAACGCGAGAACTGGCACTTCAGATCTTTGGCGTAGCACGCGAGCTCATGTCGAACCACAGCCAGACCTTTGGTATTCTGATTGGTGGTGCGAACAGGAGTGCAGAGGCGGAGAAGCTGCGCAAGGGACTGAACCTTATTATCGCCACACCCGGAAGACTCTTGGACCACCTCCACAATACCCAGGGATTTGTCTTCAAGAACTTGCGTTCGTTGATTATCGATGAAGCAGATCGTATTCTGGAAGTTGGATTTGAGGACGAAATGGTAGGATTTTGCACAAACCATGGTAGATGTATCATGTGCTAATTTGTTGACAGAGATCCATCATTAAGATTTTGCCAACCGAGCGTCAGACGATGCTGTTCTCTGCTACGCAAACGACAAAGGTCGAGGACCTTGCACGGATATCGCTCAAACCAGGTCCTTTATACATCAATGTCGACTATAGAGCGGAGCACAGTACAGTGCAAGGGTTGGAGCAAGGCTATGTCTTGTGTGATTCAGACACGAGGTTTAGGCTGTTGTTCAGCTTCCTGAAGAAACGGTACGTAGCCATGAGAATCTGTGTTTTTTGCAAGCTTTGCTAACTTGGCGTAGTATGTACTCATTCTTGCGGAGAAGAAATCTTGTAATCGTCCAAGCATGTACTAACGCATGTGTGCAGATCAAAAGAAGAAAGTCATTGTGTTTCTGTCATCGTGCGCGTCGGTCGATTTCTACAGCGAACTGCTCAACTATATCGACTTACCAGTGCTCGGTCTACATGGCAAGCTTAAGCAGCAAGCACGCACCAACCGCTTTTTTGAGTTTGTGAATGCTCAGAGTGGTACGCTCATTTGTACCGATGTGGCAGCACGAGGTCTCGACATTCCCGAAGTCGATTGGGTGATTCAATTTGATGTAGGTGTATTTTGACCGAGAAGGCTTGCGCAAGCTAACGTTATAAGCCTCCGGATGATCCTCGGGACTACATTCACCGAGTTGGACGAACGGCAAGAGGTGCCAATGGCAAGGGCAGGAGCTTGATGTTCTTGCTACCGTCAGAGGTCGGCTTCTTGAAGTTGCTGAAAGAAAACCGGGTGCCGCTAGTTGAGGTAAGCAACTGATGCAGCGAATGAAGCGAGGCGAGTATTGACGTGTGACGTTAGTTTGAACTACCCAGCAACAAGATTCTCAATATCCAAAGCCAACTCGAGGCGTTGATGTAAGTGCTTGTACGGGCTTTGTTGTGGCAGTACAGAAGGAATTAATCATTGCATAGATCCAAGAACTACTACCTAAACAAGAGCGCCAAAGATGGATACCGATCCTATCTGCAATCCTATGCCAGCCACAGCTTACGTTCTGTGTTTGATGTGCACAAGTTGGATCTTGTCAAAGTGTAAGAGGTCCCACAAATATTTTACTGGTTGGGCACTGACAGCGTGATGCAGGGCCAAGAGTTTTGGGTTCTCGACACCGCCACGCATCGACATCAGCCTCGGAGCGAGTCTGAGTCGCGACAAGAAGGTCGAAGGACGAAGAGCATATGGCAGCCAACCGCAACAGGCACGAAGACCGATGAAGCAAGGAAAAAGGTTTTGAGGGGGAGAAGAGAGAGATAGGGCATTGACGGGAGTTTGGCGTACCAAAAAATACTATGTTGCGTGGGCACTACTTGGGGGGTCATAGCTGCTGTACTGTGACTATTCAATGCCAACAATGAGACTGGTTCTGAGAAACGCTCGGGGTTGGTGTTCCTGGAGGTCGTGTTGGCGCAGAGCGTGTGATAGGCGGACACGGACGTGTAAGTAAGTACCTACTTAGGTATGCACGTATACTAAGTAGTGTATGAAACATGAGGTGCAGGTAGGGTGCATGGTGCAGTAGTGGCAGCAGCTGGGCATGGACTAAGCGATGACATGAATAAGGAGCTAGCGGGTTTGGTTGGGCAAAGGACAAATTTTCTCACGCTCGCAAACTGCCAGTTCACCGTGGCTTGTATGCACGAAGACGACATTGTTCTCCTGGATAGAGGACTTCTCTGCTATGACTTGCTGAGAGGACGGGAGCCCCCTCCCCCCAGACAGCCCTACGCAGATGCCCAAGATGTGCAGATGGGACTGGGCCGGTATGGGTGATGCGCTGGCAAGTTGGGCAAGGGTGCGTTTCCAGGGGTGTGGAGCCAATTAGGATGGGTAGGTTGAGAGGACTGAAGCAGGCGGATGCGGCCGTCCGTGGGCGGGTTCGGCATAATCACCCCTGGTAACCAGCCGGGTAGCCAATTCACCTACCGTGTAGACTAATGGCCCTAGCATCCAGACGGCCAAAACATGACGATATGGAGACATTCTGGCGGTGAGCGAGGCAGGAGGGAGAAGGGCAAAAGGGCAATTGGAAATGGACAGGAGCAGACGCTGAGGCCACGCACCATTTCAGTGCAAGCAAAGCAACAAAATGAGCGAGCGGTGTTTCTGTTTTCTGTTTCGGCGCAGAGCGAGGGAACAAGAATAGAAGCGAATTAGCGGCGTAGATTTGCTTTTGGAGGGTACCGACCAGCCATCTTTTGCACGGCAATGTGCCGTCGTGAGGCTGGTATTCGTCGGCGGCACGGGGGTTTGGCCCAGCGCATGCTTCAACGGCGGCCACGAGGGGTTTTCAGGCACACTGTCTGGCCCTTGTGCTTGGGGGCGCGACGTTGCGCGTATGGTGGTGGCTGGGCTGGGGGCGAGGTGAGGTGACAGGATGCATCCCAGAGAGAGGATAGAGTGGTTGGGTAGTCGTGTGGGTGTGTGTGTAGGACGCTGATGGTGGTGACCACCAATTCCGTGGCGCGTATTCTTGTATCCTCTTGCTTGCACTCGATCCCCGTGCCCATGACGACGGACGATATGCCCATTCCCACTTGTTCTTGAATCCTCTCCCCGCCCCCTCTAAAAGAGCAGCGCCTCACCACGACGGCCTGTTAGCGCCGACCAGGATTCGGTGCTAGAGGAGACCTTGACCCAGCTTTCTCTCCACCACAGCTGGGGACTTTGTTCCTACGCCAGCAGCCTCTCCGCCAGCTCCCAGCGAGCCTGCAGCGCCATTGTTACCCGCACGACTTTCGCGGTCTGCGCCTCTTGGTGGTGTCGGTATGTCCTGACCCCCCCTCTCTCTCTCCACCGCCTCGTTGCACTTGTTGTGCAGTCTGCGCAGCCTTGTCCTCGTCGCTCCCTCTCCTCCCTTGCTGCCCTTCTCACCCTCTTGCTCCTGCGGCTGTCGCTGCTCAGCTGCTAACACGTGCGCCCCCCAGCCTTCGCTACGACACGCCGGCGCTCAGCTCGCCCTCGTCGCAGAGCGTCGCCTGCCACGGAGCTGCCTCGCATAGCCGGTGTATGCACACACACGCCTCGCCGCGCTCTCTGCTATGAATTAGCCGCTCTTGCACCATCCATCACCTTGTGCTGTTGGCGCCCGAGCGTGCTTCCCGTCACCTAGGTAGCACCAGGTACCCTTTGCGCTCGCGCAAACCAGTCACTGCCACCATCCGGTCCTGCACCCACCCCAAACACCGCACTACCCTTCTCTCTCCCAAGTATTCGAGGAAAACGGTGCCGGGCATGTCTTCGCTCACCCACCCCACCTTCTAGGAATCTTCAGATTCTACGATGGGTTTTGACAACGACAAATATCCTCTTCCGGCTCCTACTGAATCTTCGACTCTTGATTCCGCAGACGAATCCATCCACATTGACGACATTGACACCAACGTTTCTACAAACGTTTCCAACCGCACCGACAGAACCTCCTACTCTGTTCCCGACGACGGCACTCCCATTACCATCAACACCACCACCCCTACCAAGCCCCACGGCGGCGGCACCCTTCACAAAAAGTTTCCTTCGCAGACATCGCTGCTGATTGAGTACTTTGACACAGGGTCGACCGACGGACAGGACCAACGACGTGCAAGTGTACGCGTACGGATCACTCCTTCCTCCCGCAAGTCCAAGAAAAGCCTCGCGAACGATCACATTCAGATCTCCCAAGCCTCTCGCAACCATCGTAAGCCCTCCTCCACCCGGCGCATCTCGCTCGCAAGTGAGTCCCGTGACGAGCTTATCGATACCCGCAGCGTTGTTTTTTCCGATATCTCGGCCCTCCCGCCCGAGGGCACCTCGTTTCTGCCCAGCTTCGCCGACGACGAAGACAGCGACGGCGGCCGCTACATACCTGCTCCATCCGACATCTCGTCTATGCCCACAGACAGCATGACGGGCGCTACGGAAATTCTCCCCCCAGCCCGGCGAAGGAGCCGGAGCATTGAGCGGGATGCTGTTACCGACTCAATGGTTTCCGAGGCCATCAAGGATACCTTGAAAGCCCCCAGAGAACAACGCAGCAGGAGCCTAAGCAAAGATCGCATCACTCAGCGCGTAATGGAAAAACTCCAACAGCAGGCTGCCGAAGGCAACCTCTCCTCCAAATCTAAAGAAAGATCCTCAAAGTCGAGAGAAACCTCGAGACGGAGAGACGATGACCTCTCCTCGTCGCGCAAGTCGCATCGAAGGAGAAGCAAAGACGTTGAACGTGTTGGTGGCGTTAGTGGTACCGAATCCAGTGTGCTCTCATCAAACATTGACCGCCGCTCTGTCGTTTCTGGAACTTCCTCCATCAACAACCCAAAACTGCTCGCTACAGTCGAGGATGCCATCAAGCGATTGATCCTTCCCGAACTGAATGCACTCAAAGAAGAGAATCGCACATCGCGGAATGTCGACAAATTTGAGCGCTCCAACCGCGACAGCACAACTCTGTATGAGCCCGCCGAGTCTACCAGCTCGCGCGACCCCTCCAAGCGACGTGTGTCCAAATCATCCAGCACACCTAAGCTACACAGCAACAAACCCAAGGTCACTCTCAATAGAGACAACGATGACCCTGCAATCACACTGACCGGCACATCAAGCCGTAAGAGTGATCGACGATCTAGCCGAAGCTCCATCTCGAGCTTTGCGGAGTCGACTACTAGAGAGGAAAAGTCCCACCGGAGAAAGAGTAGGGACAAGGAGGGCTTGTCTCAGCGGGAATCGGCCCTACTTTCGCTTGCTGGAGCTGGCCTCACCACGGCCGCTCTAAAGCATCACACATCACGTGAAGAAAAAGAAGAAGAACGCAAACACCGAAAACACCGCTCCTCTCGCAGCATCAGAAGTAGGTCGGAAAGCGTGTCCGATAGTTTGCATGAGGAAAAGCAACCCAAAGAGCTCGTTCCACCACTACCTTTCAATCAGAGTGAGATGATAGGAGGATCTGAGCTCACTCGAGATTCTATTCTCTCTGCTGAGACTGAGACCAAGGAGAGACCGGAGTCAAGATCATCTGCAAGCACTGGAATTTCGGGAACAGGTGCCGAGACTCCTCTCCGACAAGTCCCTCGAGGTTTCGCCTCGCCTTCACCGCTCACGCCAAGTCGCACTCCCAATGCTTTGCCACAAAATCTTGGTTCAGCCCACAGCAATCGCTCTACTGGCGATGTTCGTCAGTCCACTCCAAAGAGCGAGCGCAGCTATACCTCACGACAGAAAGAAGCCAATGATGCAGGTTTATCAGCTGCTGCTGCGGCCAAAATCCGTGCGATTGAACAGTCTCAGTCTCAAGTGTCAAAGTACGAGATTGAGAGTGACACGCAGTCGGGGCGTGGCGTCAGCCCGATCCAAAGCGAGGCTAGTTATCGTGGCGACACTACCAACACTGGTTCTCCCCGAAGATTTCACTCCATTCGTAGCGGGCCATCTGTATCATCGCTTGGTGACCATTTCGAACGACGACAGTCTGGCCTTTCCATCGCTTCGTTGGATTCAACAGCAAGTACAAAAGCTGCGCGAACTCGCAAACGGCCGCAAGGTGTCACCCTCGAGAGCAAGAAATCCATACTCAACGAGCCAAGTACTCCTACCGACACCAAGGAGTTCTTTGAACGTAATCATAAGAAGAACGAGCAATATCGGCGTGAACTGGAGGAAAATCCTCTGACTCCACCACCCGTGAATTATAACCGCCTGACCCAGTACACTGATGACAGCGTGGGAGGACCCGATCTCAGCCTCGACCGGGATCCGAAACTGGCCCAAGACATCCGCAAAGTTGGCTCGATTCCTGAATACATTCACACTCCACTCGCCGTGGAATCTGCTGTGGCCTCCCTGTACGACCAAACTGAACTCAGTGTCCGCTCTTCAAAGGCGTCAAGCCCACTGAAGAAAAGCACGCTATCTCAAGTTAGCACCAATCCTGCTTACGTACAGACTGACAATGTACCCGCTGGTCAGAGATGGGCTGCAATTCGCGACAAGGCTGAAGCAATGTCACAAGGGAACAAAGTCGAAAACTCCCCAAAACAGAGCATTCCTCGCGAGAATTCTCCAAGGCAGAGTATCGCCGAATCGGAGGACGCCGAATCGATTGATGAAGCACCTCGGATGCATCACAGTGCCTTCCCAACAGGTGAAGATGACATGCCTGAAATTGGATATGGTATGGACGACCAGTCCGACGTAACGACCAATCCCTCAATCATCCAAGGACCTATCGGAGGAGGAAAAGGCTACCGCGACCGCACTGATGAGCTGCTTGATATGCAAGAGGAGCGAGAACGCACACCTACCTCGTTCTCCAAGGGTGCTCATCTCCAGCGGCATGAACAGCCAAGCCCAGCCACTTTTGATGATGAGCGCCAGCCCACCGTAGAAGATGACTATGATCATCCCTATCCAGGTGAGACACAATACGAGCAGGCAGGCTACGCGCAAAGTACGCGCACTCCTTTGTCAGGCCAAACCGGCTGGAAAGACGAGGGTTACCAGTCGGCTAACCATGGTGAAGGCTACACGCCTCAAAACCGCAAATATTCCAAGATGTTTGAGGATGATGATTATGGCGACGATTACGATGGTATGGCCCTCGGAGAAGATGCGTTTGGTGCGCCTAGAGGCAAACATGACCGACAAGTCAGTGGCAACTCTCATGGCATCGACTCACCACTCTACGACGCGGCTACCGGCAAGGGCATTGACCATATCCAATCCAAGGATATCGTTGCGCTCATGGATCACCTTACCGTTCGCGATGCCCAGCGCAATGCTCGTGACACCGAGATTTTGGTCACACTTGTTCGTAGCGCGGCTGAGATGCGCACTCAGTTGGACGACCTGAAGCAGTTCATCAAGGTTCAAGACAATATGATTATGAACACGACTGACAAGCGAGTCAATCTTGCTGAACAAAGAATTCTCGGTGGCCCTCGTCCACAACCCGTTACACCACCTCGCTTCAACCGCAACAATTCTGAGGAGGAGATTGAGACTAAGAAGAAGAGCGTCTTTAGGCGTGCTCTGAAGGGTCTAAGCACTGGCAAAGGTGATGGCGACATCAAGCACATTGAAGCCATGCTGGTTCAACTGCTTGGTGAAGTCGAGGGCTTGAAGCAGGTCAATCAACTGTCTCTAGACCAACAGCAGCAGCAACAGCAACAGCAACTACAACCCCCAGAAAGTGCTCGAACAAACAGTATGACCTCGCTTGATAACCGCCGACAGAGTGGTGACGCGGGTTATGAGCCAGAGGGTCGCGCTAACACCGCGGAGTCGCCAAACCAGTCGGGATATTTCTCCATTCCTTCTTCTTCCAGGCGTATCCAGGATCTTCACTCTGGTTATGACGTCGGTCCAACAACCCGTATTAGCACGGTGCGAGAAGAAAGTGACGAGGAGTATGATGAACGTTCCCCAGGATACGAGAATACGGAGCGAATGACAACACCGACCCAAGAAGCTTTCCAGGAGAAGCGTGCATCTCTTGGCACCCCACCACAAGCTTCGAGGGCAGCACGAGACTCACGAGACTCGCGAGAACTGCAGAGCCAGGAGAACACGCCAAAGCGCAAGCACAAGTCAAATTCCTCATCAATTTTTGGCATACCCAAGATTTCGCGATGGTCCAAGACAACTGCCTCGACCAACCCCGAAAGCCTGCCGCGCAACAGTGGATCTGGAGACAAGCGACCTTTCTCCGCTCATTCAATCCACTCCAGGTCGTCTTCGCAAGATGACTACTATGATGAGGAGGAGGAGGAGCCGTATGCGCAGCACGCCGACGACAGGCTTCGTTCCAGCACATCTCTCGCCAGAGAAGACCAGGGTTCCATCCGCTCCGTTCGCTCTCCTTCGCCTCTCATCCCAGAGGAGAATGCGTACGAGATGGAGGACCCCAAGTACCAGGCTCATCGCAACTCGCTGAACCTGCAACATCCTCAGCCACGACCTGGTCCTACTGGTCGTCATCAAAATAATCTGGAGACTCAGGCGCAGATCTTCCAGCCTACTAACCGTTCGAGCATCAGTTCTCCTGATTTCGATCAATGGGGCAGCATGCCTTCGCTAGCTCGTAACCGCCTCTCTGGCATGTCAGCTCCCCACGCCAGCAACCTTTCTCCGATTTCATCGGACGGTAGCTACAGCCAAGCTTCCGAGCACCAAAATGGCTCAGCTCGCCAGCCCAAGGCTATGGATGATGGACCACTTATGCCTCCACAGCAAACCCTTGCTGGTTACGGCCAGACGAGGCAAATGTACAGCTCGCCAAATGAGTTTGGCAGTCAAGGTGCCTTGACACCACTCGCACCCATCGCTGAGGTGCGTTATTCGCTTGAGACCGACAGGGGCCACCGCGTAAGTTGAGCTCACTCATCTCTACAGAGAGATGGATGCTAACCTATGTAAAGATGACACCCACTGCCTCGTCTCGCGCGAGCTCTGCAAGCCTCCGTACCATGAGTGACTTGAGCACACCACAGCGCAAGATCACCGGTCCTAGGGCCATGGGAAGCAGGAGCCCACAGCCAAACAGCCCGCTCCAGCACTCAGATACCGTCGTCCGAAGGAAGCCTATTGAGGGTAAGTCTGACTTGTTGAAGATCCTGTGGAAGATTAGCACTGACGAAGAAAACAGATGACTTGGAGTCTCTCGAGAGCTACCGCAGCAGTCTCGACTCTGAGATCTTCTAGGCGAACGATCGAAAGCCTGGCATCCTACTTAATAGCATCAAGCACTCTGCAATTGGATGCTGGGCCAGAAGTGATGACAAGAATGGCAACTCACGATTTTCACGTCACGGCCGTGACAAGACGAAGGCACGGCAACAGTCCCGGCTTCGGCATGTTACATTTGCTGAAGAGAATGGGAAGTAATGGATTTGGGGGGAAAAGGACGAATGGCGAGAGGCTGGTTCCAAAAGTCTCACAAAATATCTCCTTTGGTTAAGTGTGGCTGTTCGTTCGTTTTTTTTAACATAATTTTCGCATTATATCAGCTTGCGAGCATGGGCGTCCTTCTAGCGAGCGAAGTTTTTACATAAGCACTTGCAACGACAAAAGAGTATGAAGTCGAACGGGAGTCTCAAAGTAAATTCATGATGAAGGGATGACCAACTTCATGATTTAACGAGAGATGAGGAGTTTTTTTCTGGATGTGTATAGCGGTACCAATATATCATGTTACGATGGGAATTTTCTGTTTTTAATGAGTGATGGATGGTGGTGGTGGTGGTGGGATGTTGGGTTTTGTGTCTGGTGCTTGAATGTCATCACCACACATACTAATACAGTAAATGACCAGCATCCGCCAACGCGACCAGTCAACTACACGATATATTTTCTATTTTACCCCCGCAATACAAGATCGCCCACCAGTGACCTACTATAAGTCAAAATTTCCCCGCTGCCAAAGACGATCCCAAGTCTTTTCGACCCGCACTTATGAGGTCGCTCTGACATCATACCAAAGCGTCCCATCACATCACTCCCTTTGCATCATCATGCGCAACATGGTATCTTCTTAGTACAATATTAACAGTATCCCACGTACTTTTCTCCGAATCCTCTTCCATCTTACTCCATCCATCCGCAAAACCACATTTTGATACCTAAACCAACTCGACCTCTTTTACGATAAACCAATTGAGAAGATAGAAAAGAAAACAAGAGAAGAGAAGAGAAGAGCAACCATGTCCGAAGCCTACAAAAACACCTCTCTCAACGAAATCGCCCACAAAGCAGAACAAGATGTAAACAGTCACGCTGCTAAGCACGGTCATGTATATGGTGATTCGAGTACGTCTCTTCCCATCCTTTCCCAATCCACACAACCCCTTAACACGCATCCCAGCAATCGAATCCGGCATCGACTCCGCCACCGTCGAAACTAAATTCCCGGGCGCAACCGCTACATACGGGTCTGCGGCTAGCGGTGCGGGTAATAACCGCGACATCCCACCCGAGGAAGGTGGGGATGTGCGTAGGGGAGGCGAAGTAACGAAGGCGAGGGATTTTGCGCAAGGGGGTGTAGGTGCGCCCGAAAGGAGGGATGAGACGTTTGCGCGGACGCATGGCGGGGATGATTCGGTGAGGGATAATATTAGGAATTGATGGGGGGTTGTTGAAGGGTGATGATTGTAAAGTTTAGAGGTATGTGATTAAACCATAGCTGAGTAAAGTGAATGCTTGTGATGGCCTGTTTGTGTGGCTTGAGATTGAATTTGGTGTTATGTCTATTTCTATCTTTTGTCGTGATGTTGGAAAAAGAAATGCAATGTCGAAGCTAAGGGAAAAAATATTGTACAGGTGCAAAGAAAAGTGATCTTTTGATACAGAGAAAGTAAAATACATGGTGCGGGTAACTGAAAATGGTGAAAACAAATGGCTGATTTGCTGCCAGAGAGTGACTATCAAAACGAGACTGTTAGTCCTCTAAAGTCACCAGGGGGAGGGTCTAGTGATGTTTCGGAATATATGGAAACACTATGCTCGTAACTCGAAGATTGTGTGGTGCTTGTTTGTTTGGACGAGGGGAATGGACTTTCTGGATGCTTCATGCGCATGTGTTTTCGTAAAGCATCTGACCGAGTAAAGGTCTTTTGGCAAGCACCGCAGGTGAGCGTTTTACGCATCGTCTGATGCACGCTCTTCGTATGCCTCCTAAGATTTCCTTTTCTGTATCTACCGGCAAAAGCAGTCTCGCATTCTGCACACCAAACTGATTCTGAATTGGACTCACTTTCTTTGCTTGGAGGAAAGAAGAAAGTGGTGGAGGATGAATTCGGAGGAGGAGTTGATGGAGCGACACTTCTAGCCTGTGAAAAATATCCAGAGTCTCGGCTTATCCAAGAGCTTCGTTCTATCGAAGAGTTTTGGCTTATCGAAGAGTTTTGGCTTATCGAAGAGTTTTGGCTTAAACTATAGTCTATTGGATCGAAAGACTCTACTCGTTCAATGTAGCTGAGGTAGTCGAAAGGTATTGTGTCGTTGGAGATCAATGAGGAGCGATACATTGATCCTCGGGTAGATACGGAGTTATGTCTTTGGGTGGATGTGGAAAAAGCGGTATCATGATTCGCGGTCGAAAAATCGGAGATGGACAAATACCTCTGAGTCCTAGCATCTTCTAATTCAATCTCTTGAAGCCGCTCAGATCCGATGGCCTGCTTGTGGTACGAAGGTTCATATTCTCTTGTAGAGCCCTGTAGTCGTGACAGAACAGTGTCCGAAATGAGAGGAGAAGTTGCTTCAGAGCTGTTGCCGAGGGTGTTATGCCGAATGCCTGGGCTCATCCGGATAGCTTGGGAATTTCCTCCAATTTCATCGACATCCTTTTGGTTATCCCAAGTCTGGCAATGACGGTAGTGCATAGATCCCACAAACTCGTCAGATTGAGAGTTTTGAACGTGTCCTAGCCACATAACGTCTTTCTGAACCCCACTGCGACTATGTCCAATCTCTGGCCTTGTATCAAGTAAGAGTTCTTTGTTCATCCCATTGGCAACAGACGAGGAAGTCTACTAACAACATCAATCAGACATGAAATCGAGTAAATTCTGTTAACACTTACGTGCTGTGGCTCTACACTTGGTCCCTCATCCCCGGAATCTGAATCTACAATCAGTTGATAAGGTGTGAGATAAGGTATAGCCTTGCTTTGGTTACGTAGGATAGGGCCAGAGGCAGGAGAATCGATTCCATTGTTGTGAGACGTGAATGGAAGTGCGGAAAAATTGTCATTTTCTTCTCGGATAGCACTTCCTACAACATTTTCAGAATTGTTTGAGAAGGGAGGTGTGTGTGCTTGAAGATGTTGAGAAGTCATGGCTTCTTCAACTTTGTGATACAGTAATTGCCATTGCACTTGCGCATTAGCTCGCCTGCGCCCGGGTTTCCGGTTGTTGCAAAACTCTCCTTTGTAGCCATGTTGAGACTCGAACACTTCCTTGTCGATAAAATCGTCGTTGCAAGTACGACAGAGCCCCAAAAATGCCAGCTGAGGTGTATAACCACGACCTGGCCGGGCTGTCAAATGGCGTCGCAACTCCGACATGTTCATACTCTTCACGTTGTTACAAGTGCGTGGCCAGCCATGTCGAGTTTCCGCGACAAATACGGGACAGTCGAACCTGCGGTCATTGGAATTCTGATCAAGGCTCATGGTGCAAAGGGCTATAATCTCAGCCGAACTGAGAATGCCGCGATGGTACCACTCATACCATAACAGTTCTCCACATACACCAGGCCAAATCACGTTCAGGACCCACACTTCAACCTTGAACCCCGCACGTAAATAAGAAAGTGCCTGGGCAAGGCGCTATAATGATAGGTCAGAACGGAATCAAGGCTGTATTAGTGCCCGGCCATGAAAACACATAGAATGAGAGAAGCCACATACATTGGAAAGATCAATCTGTACAACAGGCTGCGATGACTGACCTCCTCTGCCTTGTTCAGATGGATCGGACTCAAAAGAAGAAGAAGGACTTTGCTGCATTGGGGGAGCCATGGCGATGGAATTATGGGATTGCTCAATACAAAATGGAGGACTCTTTGAGACCGAGGGACTTCTCCAGGGAGGAATAGCACGGCTCTTTAAGTCGTGCGAAGTTGCTCCTCATTGGTCCATAAATCCCCTAGTGTGAGGTTGGCTTGCATGAATGCGGGCTTGTCAACATGCAGAGTTGCGGACTTGCGGACTTGCGGACCTACCCAGCTGCCTTATTGCCTGAAAACTGTGAAGTGTGATTGGGTGAGAGTTGTGACAGGCAAACTTGCGCACTTGGTTGGCACGTAAGATGCTATTATTTGGCATGATGCGGGCGCGGTGAGGCGGCAAGCAAGCTGGCCTACAAGTAGGCAAGTGAGTAAGTAGGCAAGTAGGCAAGCAGACAATCCGTCATACCAGTGAACTTTCCTGCGGATATAAGTATGTCTGGATGCATAGTTGCTGAATTGTATTCCCGCATACAATACAATTACACAGTTACAGCCCAAGCTCTTATGGATGAGGGCATGATACGTGTACAGCGAGTTACTGTCAAATCTCGGTGAACGAGTTAGAGGCTTTCCATGGTGATCGAAAGTTGTCGAGGTTTGTGGATGGGGTGAACAAAGTTGGAAGGTACTTATGCTGCACCTGCGAAAGTACAATGCCAAAACAGAGGCTACGCCACAGTGGCAACCACAGCCACAGTCACAGCCCGAGTGCAGCATAATTGAACCTGAGTGAAACTTAGCTGTATTTCTACTGCTGTCTCATATATCCATATTCAGAGTCTGAAGTCGCGTTGTCGTTAGGCATGATGACTAAGAACGATTATGACGATGCAATGACATAACTAGAAGGGGTATCAACGCAATTCATGCCATAGGCAGAGAACAAAGTACTGCGCCATTCAAACACACAACTGAAAACCTATGCCCATACACCAAGTGTCCAGCTAGCCCTCTCTCCCCCTTTATTAGCCAGTCCAGGGCCCATGCTCTGTCTCTGTGCAATAACTGAAACTTCCTTTTCACGAGATGCACCTTGCAAGCCATCTTTAAGATACCTTTCGCGCTCCACCTCGACAATTCCCTTGATACGTTGCTGAGCAATTAGACTTGCACCTACCCATGGGCCCAATGTCTCGACGCCTCTGAGAATACCACCCACCAGACTTGCAGGTGGCGGGCCATAGCGAAGAGTCATCTGAGCCAACTTCATGTCTATAGCGTCTTGCTCATGCGGTTGGAATGCTGCTGGCACTGTTTGCAAAGGTTCAAGTGGATCAAGAGAAGTCGCCACTGTATCTCCGCCTTCTTGTTTACGCATCTCCAAACTCTCCCGATAGTTACGTAATTTTTCTTCTCGGCGTGCACTTGCTTTTCCATAACTCTTCACCGGATCCCAGCCTCTTGCCTGGGCCAATGCATCCAGCTCCTTCAGTATACGGGTCTTGATGCCGGGAAGGTTTGACACGCCGCCCGTGATGATTATGCGTGACATGCACAACCGGCGGACATCGACTGGAAGTTGTACAAGGGTACGGTATATGAGGTGGTGTAGCGGGAGGTCTTCATCGTCGAATTCGCTGATTGACAGTTCTGGTGCAAAGAGAGCCGCGTCTGCGGGCTTAGCAAGCAATGCAAAAGGTATAGTAAGTTCTGTCGGAGGCGTATGTTTAGGAAAGGGGATTGTGACGGTGGGTGGTGGTGACTCGATAGCGTCTTCGAATTCTTCGAGTACGGGTGCTTCTCGTGCGGGAAAGTAGACGGTTCTCCGATTCGATCTAGCAATGGGCTTGCACCACCCAACACGGGTGAGAACTTCTTCGACTTCTTGGAAGGATACATCGGCTTTGGGAGCACCAGGCTCAGCATTGTCTAGTTCAGCATTCAGCAGCTTGGCCATCTCTTCGCTAAGCATCTTGCCTGCCCGCACACTGCGCCTTTCAGACACTTCGCGATACTCGTATACTGCCGTGACGAGTGTTTCGGCCCAGCCTATATCCACAATCAGGGCTGAACGTAGTCCTGCTGCTACAGCCGAAAGTACGGGGTTAGACATGAGACTGATGCTCGGGGCTTGGAAGCTCGTGAATAGCACATCCATGATGGTAGAGATGAGTGCATGCGGCATACGAGGCGGCAGGGCTAGCAAGACGCGGCGCGGCTTTGTATCCAGCAAGAAGTACTTTGTGTATACCTCGCGCATAGCCCTCTCGAACTTGTCTTCGACCAAGCCAAGATCCACCTTGGTCAAGTCGAGGCGGTATAGCTCATGCCGCTCTCCCCACTCCTCGCCCTTGTTCCGCTTTGGTCTCTTCTGTGTGTATTCCGGGTCCCACTGCCTGTAGTCACCCACCCTCCGCTGGTCTTCGGGCCCGAAAGGGAGGGTGCATCGCGGGGCACTTTCTCCAGGGAAGCCCCCACGTACAAAGCGTGAGCCGACTTCGATGACGATAAACTCGTCGTCGAAGCGGAACGAGCCACCGGGTGAGCCAAAGGTAGACGAGATGGAGCGGAGGAGCGGGGTTCGCGGGGATTCTCCCAGGTCAGCAAGACGAGGTGTATTTCCCCGTGTGCTGCGATTGAGGGAGCTCGAGACTTTGCGTTCGCCGCCAGACGACATGGCGGAGGCGGGGGGTGAGCGCAGTGCAATGGGCCAAGCAGAACACTTGCTTGCATGTGCTGTTGGCAGTCGGGACGTTGCTCTATCCAGGCAAAAACGGGCTAGTTCTCTCTGGGACTAGCGTTTTGCTAGTGGCCCGAGCTCAGGAAAAAGTTCGAGCTGGGATGGATTCTGCACGTCCAGAGCTTGCGACAAACCCCATCGCGACTTCCCACACTCCGTCCAAATCAACCTTCCAGGGCAGTTGCGCTCCGCGAATCGCGAATCCCACTGGACCCTTCCCTACGCCCGAGTACACGCACAATGGGTCTTTTTATTCTCTCGGAAACCTCGGCGGGTTATGTCCTTCTCAAGTCCAAGGACAAGAAGCTCTTGGGCGGAGACACAAAAGATTCCTCGAGCATCGCCGAGCAGCTGAAGCTCAAGAAGTTTGCCAAGTTTGGCAGCGCCGTCGATGCGCTTGAGCAGGCTGCCGCTCTTCACGATGGCAAGGTCACGCCCATGCTGTCATCGCTGCTTGACGAATTGAAGGATGAGACCAAGGCTACTTGTATGCTACTCCGCGAGCCTTTTGTGCGAATTGTGTAGCTGACATTGCTTCAAGTGGCTGTTGCCGACCCCAAGCTCTCCAATGCGATTGCTCAACTCCCAGGCCTTTCCCTCAAGACCGTCTCGGACTCGTCTACACAGGATGTATTCCGTGCCATCCGTGAAAACCTGACTTCACTCCTTCCCGACCTACTTCCCTCTGAGGAAGCCGCCACTCGCCTGGGTCTTGCCCACTCCCTATCGCGACACAAGCTGCGATTCTCCCCCGACAAGGTCGACACCATGATCATCCAGAGCATTGCTTCTCTTGATGTCTTGGACAAGCAGCTCAACACCTACGCCATGCGAGTCAAGGAATGGTACGGCTGGCACTTCCCAGAGCTTGCCAAGATCTTGAACGACAACCTGGCCTACTGTAAGTCTTTAATCCGCCTGGCCTCGATACTTTGCTAATTTTTGTAGCGCGTGTCGTTTTGAAGATGGGCTTCCGCACAAACGCTCGCCAGAGCGACCTTTCCGACATTCTGCCCGAAGAAATTGAGGTCAGTTTTTGACACCTCGCCATTTTACGAACACTACTAACAAAATTCAGGCGGCTGTCAAGGCGGCTGCAGAAATCTCCATGGGTACTGAAATCACAGAAGAGGATTTGGAAACCACCTCCGCTCTCGCTGAGCAGGTTGTCGACCTGACCGAGCACCGTCAAAATCTCGGAAACTACCTATCAAACCGCATGCAGGCGCTTGCTCCTAACCTGACTGCTCTTGTTGGTGAGCTTGTTGGTGCGCGCTTGATCGCTCACGCCGGATCTCTCATGAACCTCGCCAAGTCGCCTGGTTCCACCATCCAAATCCTCGGTGCCGAGAAGGCCCTCTTCCGTGCTCTCAAGACGAAGCACGATACACCCAAATATGGTGTAAGTACTCAGTGCTCTTGATCAACCAGACTTGTACTGACTCAATTAGCTCATCTACCATGCATCTCTTATCGGTCAAGCTACCGGAAAGAACAAGGGAAAGATTGCCCGTATGCTCGCTGCCAAATCCGCTTTGGGTCTGCGTGTCGATGCCCTTAGCACCTGGGGTGTCTCATCAGAGGACACCTCCAAGGAGCCTACCGAAGAAGAGAAGTCCCAAGTTGGTCGCGACGCACGCCTGACTATCGAGAGGAGACTGCGCGCGCTCGAGGGCAAGCCATTGAAGAGCTTGGCCAACGCCAACCAGACTGCACTCGGTGGACAGAAGAAGTGGGAAGTCAAGGAGGCGCGGAAGTACAACCCCGACGCTGATGGTCTTACTGGCGACGAGCCCGCTGCTGATGCGCCTAAGTCGGCCAAGGTCAACGGCACACCCAAGAAGCTGGTGCAAGAGGTCGACAGCGACGGTGACGAGAGCATGGCCGACGCCGGCGCCGCTTCAGATTCAGACTCTGAGCCAGAAGAAAAGCCAGCTGGAAAGGACAAGGCGGCGAAGAAGGCAGCAAAGGAAGCTAAAAAGGCACGGAAAGCACAGCGGGCCGCCAAGCGTGAGGCCAAGTTAGCCAAGAAGGCAGCTAAGGAGGCAAAGAAGGCAGGCAAGGACAGCAAGAAGCGGAAAGCGGAGGGTGGTGAGGACAGTGGGGAGAAGAAGAAAAAGAAGAAGAGCAAGGACTAGACACGCCCATGGATTATGGAGGTGAGAGGGGGAGGGAGAAAAGAAGTGATGGCTATTGCATCTTTTTTCAATCGCCATTTCTCTTGCTTCTCCCCCTTCTGACACCACCACACATGACAGAAAACCAGGGGGAACAATATGGCGTTGATTTATTTGGGTTTGAGCTTGTTCACCATTTTTCTTTGGGGCGAGTGGCGTAAAACTTCTGTTTTTTTTTTCAGTGTTCGGGGCTGTCTGGGCATATTCTTGTGTAGTTTTTACCTTGAACAAAAAGGTCCTTTCTTCACGTTGCATGAATGGGGATGCGGTGGGATGACGGATACCCGCCAGCTGGTAGCATACAATTACATGTTCAAAAAAGTTTTACGGTCTCGATTTTGATATGCTGTTTGGTGTTTTTGTTTATCGGTCTATGCTATAAGAATACTGTGAACCTCTCTTCCCTTTCTCCACCCCTACCGTCCCATCTACCCTGAGACTACACTTTTCACACCTTCCTCTTAACCTTTCTCTTCTTCTTATTCGCAGCACCAAGCAACTTATTCGCTATCTTGGGCATGTCCACATGCTCGACTCCCTCTGGAATCTGCGCTTCCTCCTCGTCAAAAACTTGCTGGATGATGGCGAGCATGTCGTGTAGTTCATCTTCTGTAAAGCGGGTGCCCGCCTTTTTCGTTTCCATCAGCCTCATTCACCTCCCCTCAAAAAGAGTACATTCACGTGATAGGAAGGAAGAAAAGGAAAAATAAAAAAAGAGGGGGGGGGGGAAGGGGGGAAACATACCTCTTCAACAACCAACTCAAGCATGACCTGCGTCGTGGGTCTCAAATTATAAATCTGCAGGTACTCCGCCTTGTTCAGCCTATATTTCGGAGCTAAAGCGCGAAACAGGCTGTTGGGTCCCTTGTACAGGGTCATGGGTCGATTGGGATGCGCATCTGCGAGAGCGGTGGTGGTGTAGTCCGGTGTTTGCAGGTAGGCGAGGCCATCACGCAGCATGTGGGTTAGACCGGAGGGCTTTTTGCGCTTGCGGTTTGTGGAGTCGGTTCCTGTGTATTCTGCTTCTTCGGCGAGGAGGTGCAGGAGGACTTCGTGGTTGGTTAGGAGGGCGGATTGGGGGGTTTTGATCTAAGTAAGGTCGTGTGAGAATGTGTCGAAGAAGAGGAGAGTGAGTTTCTATGGTTTGGTGGAACTTTTCGAGGTTTGTAGTAGATTCACTTGTTTCCTTCTCTTTTTTCCCCATCCTATCTGTATCTGTTTGTCGTACTTACATGCATGGCTATGATTGGATGGTAATTTTTTCTATTCAGAGTTGCTGCTCAGACAAACGCAAAGTCACGGGATCTTCAAGTCCACTGACTGTATAATCCTACGTGAGTCAGTCTTGTTGCATATAATCCCTCACACCGTTCACTTTTTTTTTGAACAGCAATAACGAAGAAATTCCGATCGTGCATGGAAAGTTCCGCAAATTGACTGCACGTCTTTATCATTTTGATTAACTCTCTGCATCGTGGCATGCATGCAAAGTAGCCGCAGCCAGTAAAAGCACACATGGTCTGATAAGAGGTGATACGTACCCACTTGGCGAAGATGAAGCTGTACACGATTTCGGAGCCACATGCGCAGTCGAAATTAGCTTCGCACGTTGCAGTGCTTTTGTAGTGAGCAATGTTCAGAGGTTCTACATGGCGTTGCGGGTGGACCGTGGTAGAGAAGAAAAAGGTTAGTACAAGGCAGATTTTCGCGCTAAGGGCTTGGCGCTTTCAAGGGCTTGTTATTGCCCCAAGGAAAAGGACGAATATTGCAAGGCTCATGTTCACATTACGGCGATTTTCAGAACTGCTACGTCTATGAAACTTGACTAGAAACTGGCGTCCGAAATCGTTACTATATCTTGATAGTCTAAATCATCACTGGGTATTACGATTATATCTTCCTTTTTGTACTGTTCCAGACAGGTCTCAAATGCTGCTAACGCCGCGCAATGCTATGCGGAGAATGGGGTACTCGCAAGGTCGTCAAACAAGGAAATTTGGAGATTCGTGGGTGCAAAATGCCCCAATCGTCGTGTTTCGAGTTGGCCCCCTTTGGACTTTCTGTAGGCTTATGCCATGATGTTATTGGTCTGCTGTTGTTGTAGCTTTGGTTTTCTTGATTATGAAGACGCCCACCTCGACACCCTTGGTAGGCGCTCCGTCTTGATACTCTCGTTTTGACACGCCATCGAGGACATGCTGGATAAGCGAGGCCGCGCTCATTTCGCCCATGGGAAGCTTCTTGGATTTGTTGAAGTACTTCATGACGACGTCTCGCACACGAGGCTTTTCTTGCTTAATCCACCAATCGTCTGCCCATGCTGATCTTTCTAGTAGAACATCTTCTTTTGTAGCATGTATAACTTGGTACGCCGCCTTTTTGTCAGCCCTGAGGTGCCGTTCACTCATTGCGTGACAAAATCTTCGCACTTGGACTTCTAGATGCTCATAAACATCAAGGTAGTTGACCGAGCTCATTTGACCTATATCTCTTCCGAGCTCCGAGTGAAGCTCGTGTACTACCGTCACAGAACGCAATAGCGGATCGAGGATGGGCCCGAGGTACTGCCTCATAAACGTCTTTGCGCCTGTCTTTGTTGGGTAGATGAAGAGCAAAATGCCATTGTCACTGGAGAGTTCGATCAAGCGGTCGTATAACAAGGACCGGCCGTGGAATGTAAACATTTCGGCGAATTCGTTTGTATTCGTGGGCGGAATGTATCTTTCGACAATTGATATGTTGATACTTCCCGGGGGAACTACAGGTCTAGGGGATGGCGGCAAAAGTTTCGAGTCGAGCTGGTAGTCCGGTATGGCGACTGCACTGTCAAAGACCTTGCTGGTAAAGTATGAGTCACCTCCGACTGCGGGGCCTGGTGTTGAAGGGGGCGACTTGGGCAAGTCGAGGAGGGTATAGCGTCCAGGGAGAGCATGGAATACATTGATCCATGAAGTGTGTGTCGAAGAAGCGTCGTGAATCGAAGCAATAACGTCGCCAAACACATGACCCGCTGTAGAAGGACAAGGAAGGGCATGAGAAAGAATTCTGACAGAGTCTAGGCCCAGACATCCAGATTCGTGTACTTGAAGTGTTTAGTACAGCAAAAAAAAGAAAAAGAGAGATGGGATGGGGGCGATGACTTACTGATTGTGCTTTTGGCCATTTCGATCCATGTAGCCATTCCCTGTACTTCGGAGAGTGGTGCGTGAGTTGGTACGATGATTTGTGCTTGGGGAGGAGCTAGTTCACGAGCGGTAATGTTTGCACTGGGCGAGACGCCTGGATCCGAGTGGGGAGGCGAGCCTAGTGTGGCAATACGAGGGTTCATAAAGGAACCCCAGTTGATGGTTCCTGGCTCCGAGTCCGAAGGGGGTGTGTGGGTGGAGAGAGAAGGGCCCACGCGTGCTGTTGCAGCCTTCGGACTGGTAACGGGGGTGTGGAGGAGGGCGGCCGTGGCGTGGTTGTTGCAACTGTGAGCCAGCGGGCTGAGTGCATGGAGAGGGTCTTCTGGCTTTGATAGCGGTCCCGCGCCTAGTGGAGAGAAGGGCAGATCAGGTTGGGTCAGAATATGGTCTGGGTGGGGCGCGGCAATACCCAGGACATGGAACGAGGGCAGGCGTAAATTATGCTTTGCTTTGATTATTGTTGGTGGAGGAAGCGAAAGACTACTTTGAGGTAAGTTGAGGGTTAGATCGACATGTGGACGATCTTCGGTGATGGGCGTGGTGAGAGGCTGGGGTAAGGCGGAAGGCAGCGGGAAGGGCTGCGGCAGGGAAGCGTCGAGAAATGAAGAAAAGGTGTCGGGAACCACGGTGTCGGAGCAGGGACCCGCTTGTGCTGCTTCATCCGGTGTCGGTGGGATGGAGTTGGGAAGGGGTTCGTGGGGTTGGTAAGGGAGTTGGGAGGGGAGAAGGGTGGTAGTGTCAGCATGGAGCTGGTCGAAGACTTGGGACCGGGGATTGGGATCGGTCATGGCAAACGTCGATTGTGATGTTTGCAGACGACCAAGGCGCCGTGCAGTCACGCTGCCTGTCCTGGGCGGGCGGGAGAGACAGAGTGACGGACGGACAGGCGCACGGAGACGTGGCTGGAGGATCTGGCGGCCAGGAACCAAACCGCTTGACTAGCTTTTGCTGCGGGGCGGTAATCAACGGCCGTGGGGAGGAAGACGACACAGACGGCGAAGACGACGGGACGGAGGGAGTGGGTATGGGTATGGGTATTGGGGGGGGGAGGGTGAAGACGCAGGGCTGTGCGAGGGAGCGACTGCCAAGGCCTGGCCCAGAGTGCGACAAGGACAGCGGGACCGCACAGCACAGCACGACAGCGGGGAAGAAGCAGCAGCAGCAGGATGAATGGAGAGGGAGGGATGGCAATGGGATGGGTACATGGAGGGAGCGAGAGAACGGGCGTGTAGTGGCTGACCGTGGGCCCATGGATTCAACACCCGGTGCTGGCGCTGCAGTTGATGCTAGTGCGCGTGCAAACGCCAGGGTCTCAGCACCGTGAGTTCTAGACCCCCGGCCTCGAGAGCATTCAGATGGATCAGAAATGGCCTGACCAACAGACTCGTCTGCCCGCCCCCAAACCCTCAGAGACAGGTCAGCAGGGCTGTGGAACAGTTGGACCGGTACTGCCTCTGATACATTGCTCCCCTGTACATACTTATACTACCACCGCTACTAGTACACTACGTACTTACACCCATACCCCATACCCAGGTACAGGTACAGGCACAGGTACAGGCATGTAAGTACATGTCGACTACCAAAGTACATGTACATGGCACTTAGATACAAGTGTATTTCCTTACATAAGTACGCAAGTATATCCCGCTCCGTCCAAGTCGTGTGCACAGCAAGGCCCTAGGTATGGCCCTACACCAGCTAGCGCCTCTATCTGATGCATCGCACGCATGCAGCTGCAGCCCACTAATAGTCTGGACAAGAGCGCCGCATCCCTTTCGGGCCTGCTCTGCCTTGCTGCTTCGACTGGCGGCTTGAATCTCGGCTGCCATGCTGGACTTTGCACACGACTGCTTGCTCTCCCATGCCAGTCGCCAGATGCCAGACGCCAAATGCACTGTAAGCCCTCCCTTTGGGAAATACGTAAGTCTATACGAGTCTAGATTTCTTCCACGACATCGCTTCTGCTGCTGCCTGGCGCCAATTAAGCGACCCTATGCCGCTCTCTCTCCCCCTCGCCCTCTCCTCTTCACTCCGCTTCTTCTTCTCCCTCTCCTCGCCCTCCGTCTCAGCCCGGACTCCGAGCATACAACTCCATGCTGTCCTCTGCCCGCTCCATTAAGGTTCGCCCCCTGTCCATACTTGAAACCGCTCCTCTTTGCTGCCGAATGTGCGGCCGATCAGTCTGCTGCGCGTCAGCCGCCAGGGCCTTGCCTTAGCCACTAGCCCATTACTACCCTGGACCTAAGTACACACCACTCGGCAATGGAAAAAAAGCGTTTGGCTCAATCGTCCCGTCATACCATGTGACAAACGGCGTGCACATCCTTACTCTACATTGTTGCTCCACGACACGTACGTTTCAATCACTGCTACATTTTTTATTTTTTTCATTTTTTTTTTAGAATCCCCCAAACAACCGGCTTCCTTCCTGTTGATTGTCGTTCGCTCCATCTCCCAGTCTTTTTCACTTGTCCCCAATTCCACAAACACATCGTCACCCATAACACCTAGGTATCGAACTTGACAAAACATCAGCGCCTGCCCCTCGTGTTTGCTGCTCACACCACACTTACCTGCCACTTCTGCAGCCCTCTCTCCCGCGCCCCTCCCTTTGCTGCCCCGCTCGATCGACTTGCCATCTTGGGCTCATGCCGTTTTACGTACTCTTGCGCCAAGATGGGACATGCTTTTTTGTGTGCCTTGAAATGTGCCTTTTGACAGTCCTTGTTGCAGTAGGCTACGCTGTGGCATTTTATGCATTGTTTGAGTGAGTCTGCCGATTTGCCGCATTGACCACACGCTGCTGCTGCCACTTGATGACTTGCTGATGCCGTCGACTCTGTCTGTGTCTCGCTCGACTCTGCTGTCGTCGTGTTTGATGCCTCTGCCCGTGTATCCGGTACATCATTCGTGGCCGGGCTGGGTTCTGCCATCATGTAAGTATGCCAGATGGAGTGGGAATGCTGGGCAGAATTATTTGGATTGCTACGAGAGATTCTCGGGTCAATGTGCGACTTTGCGCCGCGGAACTGTCAAAGTTCGATGATCGGCATTTGACTTGCAGGGATCTGCCGTTAGCGAGTTCCCTAGTCCTACCCGGTCTTAGCGCTTCCGGTCCCATTTTCTACGTGCTAAAAGTTTGCAAATACTAGGCATGGCTGCCCATTGCATGCAGCCAGCAATGCAGAGACCACATTGCATGATATCCACCCCGACACATTGCAAGCATATTGAATCAAGCATACCAGCATCGGAAAGACAATTTCCACATCTGCTGCCCTCATCGAGAAATACACCCTTACCAACGTTTCAGCCACAATGGCAGTGTCCACAAACATACGCGTTTCCCAAGCCACAATTAAACGCAATTCCTTCAGCCTGGGCTTACCGGATTCCCATCAATTCGGCTGAGCCTTCGGCGCTGAAATGCTAAGAGTGGACGCCTGAAAGCTCACTGCAACGGGCCGAGCAGTTGCTATATCCGGCCACTACTACACGGCGGATATTATACGTGAGCTGAATTGGCAGTACGACATACATCCTACGCTGCAGAAGCCTGTGGCTGACTTTGCAATCATGTGCAGATATACTTGGCACGCTTTGTCCCAAATCCTCCGCACAGCACCCACCCTCGTAGCCAAGAACTGTCCATGTTAATACGAATCGGCCCGTTGTTCTTCCATTTGATAAACCCCTAGTCATGCCAATACTCGGTAACAGCATGCACATGTTGTGTGACAATTAGAATGCAACCATTCGTGCAGATAGATGGAAAGCTCCGAGTTGGCGGACCGAGCGGGTTGCATTCCTGTTGGTCAATGGCGGTGAGATGGGACTTTGAAAAACGTATGGAAAAGTAGCATGTCCAGGGACTTCACTAAAGATACCCCATCTCAATTTCAAGACAATTGAACAGACGTATGGAAGATATGTCTGCGCTGATTGTTCTACCTTGGACTTCGGACTTCGCTGCAAGCAAATGCTTGGATAGAGTGTCGGTCCGGACATCGCGGACGCCACACACCATGTCACAACGCAAAATCCGATACCGTGAGACCACGATACCACAACATGAACGAGAGTAACAGCGCGTTTTGCTCTCACGACTAGACAAGTAGACCCAAAAGAAACAAAAAGAATATCCAGATGATGTTGAAGTAGAATTATCATGTCAGGGCAAGCTAACATACCTTCGACAGCAGTGCCTCGAGCAACTAGGACAATGGCTTAAAAATTAAACACCCAGTAGGAACAATTGATAAACGGACATCCAGCGGCGTACACGTAAACTACCGCCAGCCCGAACAGCCACTTCCGTCAGCCTCTTCAGTGAAACCGCCCATTGCACCAGACTACACCAGTAATGCCTCCACAAAATCAGAATAACGGAGATTGCAAGTCCCCCCCAGAGAGAGCAAGGCGTTGCAATACAGATTGTAATTGGAGACAACTTCCGCCTCCAGCAGCCACATACCACACAACCCTCATCCTTCTCCTCACCACCACAAGACATGCACACGCGTCACTCTCGATAACTCCCTATATAACGCTAACTCTTCCAACCCACCTTAGCACCACCACCTCTACAACCACTATCTCTCCAAGTCTCAAAAAGATCTTTTTTTTTACAAACCAACTATGCTTCTCACAGCGCACATCTTCCTCCTCCCAACCCTCCCCCTCACCCTCGCCCTCGTCGCACCTCGGCACCCTCCCTCTCCCCACCTCCACAGCCCTCCAGACTGCGCCCCTACAACTACAATCACGAAAACCGTTACCGTTACCATCCCCATCTACGCGCCGACGGGAAATATTTCGGTGCCATTTCCGAATGCTACTGTCACGGCTACGAGTACGGGTACGGGGGGGTTGGAGCCGATTACATTGATTACACTGTCGAGTGCAGCAGGGGAAGTGACGGTGACGGCGACGGCGACGGGTGGGGGGTTGGAACCTATTACGCTGATTACTTTGCCTACTGCTACGGCTACGGCTTTGGAGTCTGCTGGGGATGGAGGGGATGGAGGGGCGGTAGGGGCGGCACCGACGCCGAATGATATTGCGCCCATTACGTTGATTGATATTAGTACTGCCACGCCTATTTAAATGGAAGGTTGGAGGGAATTTTTGGAGCTGGGGTCACGATGGTAGGGTTTAGGAACTTGAGAACATTTTTGAATATATGGTTTTTGAGGAAGAGGGCGGGGGGAGGGGGAGCTCGTAGTTTTATATGGGAAAGACCAACGTTCAATGACACGTCTCGTATAGCTCTGTGGGATCCAAGCGCATCGATGAACTGACTTTGCTGCTGCGTCGAACGTGTTTGCGTCCTATGGGCCTGTGTTTGAAGTTAGCATTTTCTCCCTCTTCATCTATGCATCCATCAATCACGTACTCAACCTCACAAACAGAATTAGGGGAAAACAGAAGAAAGAGAGAAAAGAAAAAGAAAAAGAAAAACTCACGCATCCCCAACAACCTTCCTCATAACCAAACTATCCACCCACTCCCCCTTCACCATCTCCTTCTCCTTGGTCAGACTATGCCTCTCAAACCCCAACCGCTCCGCCAACTTCCAACTCGCCTCATTCCGCGGATCACATTCAATCTCCATCTCCACCTTGCCCACATCCTGAATCCTCTCCTTAATCGCCCCTATAAACGCCGTCATCGCCTCGGTCGCATACCCTTTCCCTTGGTACTCCGGTAAGAAAGAAAACCACAGATCCGCGTGGGTAACGGGTTTAATGCTGGATTCACCGGGCAACTTGTCTGAATTCGCCTGCGAGGTCTTGGCGCCGACGCGCCCGGTAAAGGTGCCCGTGTCGAGGGTTTCGACGGCGAGTTCGTAGATGGTGCGGGGTACGTCGTTGTGGTTTCGAATGTTCTGAAGCACCAACTCACGGGCTTGTTGGGGGGTTCGCGGGGCCCAGGATTGGTAGCGGGCGTTTGCCTCGCTGGATTCGAGCGCGTAGTAGCCGGCTATGTCTTGGGTTACGAATTCGCGGAGGAGGAGGCGGTCCGTCTTGATTGCGCCGAAGCGTTCGCCCTTTAGGTTTTGGCGGGCGATGGAGGCGAGTTCGTCTTTTGTGAAGCCTTGGGAGGCCGAGAGGATTTTTTGGATTACCGTGCTTTTGGCGTAGACGTAGTCGACAATGTTGGTCGAGGTAGCGGCGAGTTCGAGTTTGACGCGGGCGTACTCGTCTCGTAGCTCGCTGTTTGTGCGGAGAGTATCTCGCAGGTTGAGGTGGTTGCGGGTTTGGACTGCGCCGTCTACGCATACGTAGATGTTGTGGGGGATTGGCTGGTTGGGGTCTTTGAAGGCATGGCGGTCGACAACTCCGAGTTCTCCTAGGTGGTCCAACTTGCCGTTTGTCGTCAGAGCATCAATAGCAGACTGCAAGTTATCGCGAGAGACAATCACGTCAATATCGATAATGGGTTTGGCAACTAATCCTGGCACTGATGTGCTACCCACGTGCTCGATTGAGAGGTAGTCGACGTCTCGCAGGTGATTCTCCAACTCTGCCTTTATTTTCTCGAACTGCTTGGGCCATTCCTCGTTGTACTGGTCGACAGTGACAGACATAGTTTTGGGGCTTGGAAAAAAGGCAGTAGAGCTGAAGGAGAGGAGTCAAGGGCTAGATGTGTAGATGTAGGCTGCACAGATGAATGGGTGAGCTAGGCAGCATCATTGGCTGTAACCCGTACGCACCCACCCGGGTGCGCCCGCGATGCACAAACCGGAGCAGCGGTGTAAGCGGGACATGTAGGATAAAAAATGACGGCAGGTGTGCAACCATGAGTGTAACTGCAGTGTTGAAGCCATACAGGCAGCCAAGAGGGCATGCGCACATGTCGGGACGCATTGCGGAGATAGCGGCAACAGTTCCGAACCACTTGATTAGATTACGATCCAATGCTCCCCAACTCTCCGACTCTAATCATACTGCTCAATCTTGATCACTGGGATGTCTGCATATGCCGGCGGCGCATGGCAGCCCAACAACCAAGACTCGGCGGCTGAATCCCCGCCATTCTGTATCTGCTGCCTGAGCCGCCAAATGCAACGTGCCACAAGAATGCTAGCGGCAAGCAGAAGTGACAAAGGGAGCAACAAATTGCTTTGTGACGAGCCAGACCAAAGCGCGCCTAGTTTGCCAATAGCCACATTCCACGTCCTTGCCCATGTGCCAAATTTGCCATAGCCGTCCCACTCGTTCGGGTCGAAGGCAGTTCGTATCATGGCCAGTCTGCCGCACTTCATCCTGGGCGGCTGAAGGCGGTCTTTTTCTTCAACTACTTGTAAACTGGCAATGGAAAGGGCATGGTCGCACCCTCTTTGGTCTGGAGTCTCTGGACGACCGTGTTGCTCACGCAGTAGCACCTGTAAGACTGTATGGCCCAATTTGAATGGTGCAGCTTCCTCCCCCCAAGCGAGTCCAGTCACATTGAACTGAAGCCACACCTCTCCATTTCCTTCAGCTCGGAACACAGTGTGTTCGTACTGCAGTGGAAACCTGATTCTCTTAGACATGACCTCCTCGGCTTGCTCATCTGCTTCGTCTTCGGCGAGATCCATTGGCACCTGCACGGCACTAATCCGCGGAGGCAACGGATCGAGAGGAAAGATGCGCTCATCATTGAGGAGCAGAGCAGATCCCGATTTATCAATGGCAATCGTCAACATCTGTAGTACTGTCAGCGCGCCTCGCCCCTGCGCCGCGACAAGATGCCCTTACCAAGGAGTTTTGAGGAGGCGGATGAATCCATTCTGCTGCATGGGGAGTCTTCAACACGCCGAACGGACATCCAGCACATCCATACTTGACGGCGTAGGTCTTGTTCGCGTCGATCACGGTGATTACTGGGGCCACTTCCGTGACACCCGGAACATGGATCTCTTCAACCTTGTGTTCGAGAGACGACGACGCGGCAACCACAGCCGCAAGACCAAAAAGAGCAAAGGAGCGCATGATTACATGAAACGAGTGTGGACAAAGAAAAGTAACGAGAGACTGAGGGTCAAGTAAGAATAGAGGAAATATTGTTAAAGGGGAGAGAGACTGCCCAAGACGGCGGAGAGATGACGCGTGCGCATGCCTCGGTCAACGGCACGCTAGCGCAGGGACCGTCAACGTGGGGATTGACCATTCTAGATTCCTGGCGATCATTCATCCCCGGACTCTTGGACATGAACAGGCAAAATCCATGGCGGACGGCATTGTGCCTGAGATTGCTACGCAATTGCCAAGATACCACAAGTTTCATTCGTGGTTGGCAAAGGTAACAGAAACGCTAAACACGTGAATGACTTGTTGCTGTAATCGTACTTGCAAATATGCTTTTCGATGACCGAACGCGTGGGCTTGCTATTTTTAGACTCGAGTGGTTCATTCAGTTATACGAGGTCTGAGTCCATGTGTTCTCAGTGAGTGCATGCTTATGCAGTCTATCTGCCTGCAACACGGCAGGACCAGTCATCATTTCAATAGCCAAGGAAATAAGGGTGATTGCCCATGCTGCCATTTGTGCGCGCGCACGGCCTTCCATCCGGACATTCTTCGCTCAGATATGGAGAAGATGGATGAAACGGAATATCTGCCGGATGCACCATGGCGGGGCAGTCCCATCATCTCTTGTAGCTTGGATGGTTGCAACTTCTTAGTCACACATCGTGTCTGGTCGGGCGGTGGCATTGACATGGATGGACGGTAATGTGATTTGGAACACGGACCATAGTTTTACTCCTCTTCACTTTCTTCACTACTATCTCCACCTTCCAATCCTCTCCTCATCAACTCTTCTAGATCGTCTTCGTCATCGTCGGCGGGGATGTCTGCAATTGCACCATGTTTGTGGTCGTGACTGGTCGTATCTGGCTGTACAGGAGGTCCAATGTCCATGGGCTCAACGTCTCTGTCATTATACTCATACTCCTCTGCATCCTCCTCTTCTTCCTCATCGTCATCGTCACCTTCAGCATCACCGCCGCCCAAGTCACCAAAGTCAATTTCATCCTGTGTGTTCCGGTTGCGTGCGTGCGGGTTGGGAGAGCCCTCTACATCGCTGTTGGCTGCGCTGGCAAGCGATATGGGGCCGTTGGATGGAGAACGCATATAGCCAGCGCCAAGGTTGTGGCCCAGACTGCGAGCTCCCAATGCACCGTTCTTGCGTCGTGGTGGGCGCGCGTCGGGTACTTCAATTTCAAGACCGCCGTCGTCGTCTGAGTCGTCCTCGGCCTCATCTTCGTCGTGCTGATGTCGCTGGTTTTGTGCAGGCGCCGGGGATGGAGGCGCGGGCGAGGATGCGATTTCGCCGTCGGATTCATCGGACGAGTGTATCACCTCGGCAGATTTGATCTTGGAGGCGGGTGGTGCGGTAGATTTGCCCTTTGGCTTGGCAGCAGGTTCTGTTGCCGTGCGTTGAAGACGGACAGCCGGTGGTGGTTGAGCCTTTTTGGGCTTCACCATAGGATTTGTCGTCGTAGTCTTGCGCTTCTTGGGCGCAGTAGCTGCAGCGGGTTTCCGCACTGGGGCAGCGGCGGGTGGTGCGCGAGCCCCAAATTGCGGTGTATGAGCAGCACTGCCTGTACCGGCTCGGTGCTCTGGCGATGATGCATAGCGGTAGTCGGACTCGTCGCCTCGCTTCGCCTTTTCCTTGCTCAAGAAATGCCTGAAGTCATAGGGGTTGTCGGGGTCAGGGTCACCTCCCTCATCGTCCGCAGCCGCCTCGCCAAACAGGTCGTCGTCCTGGTCCTTGTCCTGCGCATCGTTCTTTAGTTTCTTGGGATATATCTTGGCGTGCTGTGACGATATGTCTTTGCCGTTCCTTGTGGCAAGGTTGAAGGTGTAGCTACTCGAGAGCGGTTCTAGGGTTGCTTGCTGGCTGGCGGGATCCAAGATGAGGACGTATGACTTCTTTGGCTGTGACTTTTGCCCCGTGAAGGTGAAGACATCCTGGTCGCCGGATTCGCTCGTGTCGTCGATGCGCAGACTGCAGGTGTTCGTCGATGAAGGCGCCGAAAGTGTCGTAGAACGATTGTCGGATGTCTGTGTAGGCTTGTGATTGTCTTCGTAGGGTGTAAGTCAGCAAGCGCCAGGATGTACATGCGCATGTCAGGTGGAGGACCAACATTTTACACTGCTGTACTCGACCGCATCATCGGTGTTCCGTATACGGTCGCTGAGGTGGAGGGTGAAGTGCGCCTTCTTGTGAGGCTCGATGCGGCTCTCTACCACGGGAGACGCCATTCCCGCGGTCGTCGTCGTCGAGCGACAAGTCTGCTAGTTGCAACGACGAAAAAGCAAGATAGAGTATGTGTGTATACACACCAGGGAAGTCACACTCTCCAGACGCGTAGGGTCACGAAAGAAGCATCGTTTGCTGAGTGGTATGGATGGCGCGCCGTGTTGCACATGGCCAGTCCGGCCGGGCTGGATTGGATTGGAGGCTCCGCCTGCCGGCCTCCCGCCGCTAGTCAGGCACCCAACTCCACACGACTAGTAAGTTCCAGCCCGCAACCGTCTCCGCTTTGCCATGTCCCTCTTCCATGGCGACATTTGTAAGGCCTCCAGTCGATTCCAATCTCTTGAAATGTGCATCTATTATACATGCACAGTCCAAACCACCCGGTGCGCGTGGGTAGTCGTGTTTCCCCGCTCTATAGCGCCATCGTGACAGCTGGCTTCGTACTGCCAATATACCCGCCTTGCTCAAACATATTGGCCAGGCCACCATAATCCTATTCACTGCTCACCAAGCAATTTACAAAGCCATTGAAAATGTCCAAAGACAGTTCACCGCCACGACACGTACTTGTTCCAAGCTGCAAAGTAACATTGGCGTTGCAGTTGATCCTTGAAGCGAGCATTATCATCCGCCTGATAATGTATTGGTAACGGCATTTTTCCAGTCAGATACGAATTCATGACCAAATCGATTGAAAGGATCTCACACCAGCACAATATCATCAAGATCTGTGGCGGGGCAGTGCCGCTGTCGGTTGGATGTATAAGATGACCACGATGAGACGCAAACCCAACGAGTCTATGATTGTCGACTCTACCCAAGCCAAATACACTGTGGCCCAGTCTCAGCAGTATCGCTTCTTGAGTCATTTGTCCATTTAATCGCACTTGCGTCGCCTCGCACACATTCTGTAATATGTATTTTATAATCCCAACGCTTCTTGCACTGGCAAGCTCAGCCACAGCGGCTGGTATCGCAGTCGTTCTCAACAATTCTCCAAAGCCAATATACGTCTGGTCTGTTGGCAGTTCGGTTGGTGCTCGTAATGATATCAAAGCTGGTCAGTGATTGCCTGGTTAGTGTCAGTACTTCTATCTTGGCTAACAGCTACAGAGGGCATCTATTGGGAAGAAATGCGCCGCGATGAGAAAACAGGAGGAATTGCCATCAAAATCACAAACAGCGCAGATGGCCTCTATTCTGGCGCTCCCCAGCAAGTTTTTGCATACAATTTAGACAACGACACAGTCTGGTATGATTTGAGTACAGTGTTTGGGGATCCATTTGCCGGCTACCGATTGCAAGTTACAGGCGACAATGGAGGGTCAATTCTGTGGCCAAAGGGAACTCATCCAGGAGGAAGCCAGCTCAAATCAGCCCCGAGTGAAGGCAACATCTTCTTCTCGATTGATCCCGCTGTTTAAAGCAGTGACAGCCACGGGGCGGCTCGAGCGCTGTATCTCTACGCGCCGTGACCGGCGCCTCATAATTCAAAAGTTACTTTGTATTGTTCCGTGATCTTCTTGCATGATGCTGTTTCAAGCCATGCCATGTCCCTAGAGGGAACCGATTGCGTTGTGCCATAACAGTTAGTCCGCCAGCCGCCGACAGGGCGGCAGATCACTGCTTACCAGGGCACAAGAACCGGCGAGACACGTGGAATTCGGTGCTTTTCGCCTGAATCAGTACCCGCCTAGAAGACCCAACGTAGCGGTAAGAGACGTGTGGACGAACGATGGGAGTGGGAAAACATGGGGTAGGCCCTGCTTTGGTCAAATTGGCCCTCTGGATTTCCTGAGCCGGCCTGTGCGCTGCCATCTCACGTCAGTCGATTTATTCGCCTTTTGACACACAATTTGGACCAATTATCCGAGCATTCGGGATGCATTTTCCCCCTTGCCACATGCAAAACATTCATGTGCATGGGGACAGCACTACGAGCACCTCCTTCCTCTATTGCGCCACCTCGGCCCTGTCTTCGCTGCTGTTCCAAGTCAGGCCACGGCTACGCCCTCGATACCGTATTGCTCTTGTATCGCCGACCAGCCAGCCATTCATCCATCCATTCATGCCGCAATCTCTCTTCATCTAACCAGGACTCGGCTCTCCCGCGAGTCTCGTGTTGGCTCGGATGGTGGATACCGAGTGAACGGCCACATCCTATCTCTAGCCCGCCTTTTTCTGGCTCGTCCCCGCCGCCCATCACGCTGCATGCTGCTACTGCGTGATTGCAAATGCGGGCGATATCGCGCCATGAGCATTGGCTGGCACTGCGTGGAGCCCGTACCCGGGTGGTGGTGGACCCTTCTCTGTGCACAACCTCAGCCTGCGAAGTGTCTCACAGCAGACTGCAAGAGGGCACTGCATGCGGCGCAGCGTCGTGGTTGTTAGGTGTGTGTGCACTACCATTTCAAGTCCTTTAGCCGGCATCCGACGGCGTTGGCTCGCACCAGACAGCCCAGGACCAGACTCTGCAGTCTGCTCCCTGTCAGATGCTAGACCCCACCCGCTTCCCGGCCTCTCCGCAATCATCATTGGCGTGCCAATCCGAGCACCTGTTTCTCTGCATCTTCTATTCGCTAGCTAGCTTCCCACTTGGCCTTATCGACCGACCGCCTGGAACACCCTGGTCGCGAAATTCACACAGCGGCCGTCTTCGGGGGCCGATACAACTTTTGAGGCAAAAGGCCCTTTCTCGCCCTCTGCCGCGCCTCCTGGGCCCTGCACCGTCATCGGCAGTGCTGATGCTGATTCGCTTTTAGGCGGGCGACCCAATGCTGTATGTATTCGTTGCCATGCCGCTTGCCACGACCAGATGCGCTCCGAGAGCCCAACCAGCTCTTGTACCACACTCCAAAGCCGTTGACCGTAGCCCCCGCTGATGCCTAATAACGATACTTTCCCACTTGCTCAGACCAGCCGACTATTCTTCTGTTATTGAAACCAACGCCACTCGACTTCCGATTCGCTGGAAATGATATACAGCCCACTACGGATCCGGCTGGACACGCGACCAAGAGCCTGGGCAGACACCATCGACACTACCATCTCAAGAACTAGATTCCAGGCCTCTTGCGTCTCGCAATGAGCTCCAGGACACTGACCAATGTTGTGAACGACCAAACGGTTGCCCTCAATGCTCTCATCTATGGATATGCCGGCCACAGCTTGGTCACCCCTCAGCACGCCCTCCAACAAATATGGTGGACCGAGGAGAGGATCAATGAGAGAGTCACCAATGACTTTGTCACTTCTCGGCTACAGCCTCAAGAGAGGGAACGGCTCACCCAACCTGTAGGCTTTGGCGATCTGAGCGACGATACCTACATCGAATGGATCATGGAGAAGGCACGGCGGCTATTCCTGATACTTGTAGAGATCGGCGAGGCAGACCGGATATTTGCCGTTGTCGACAAATCTTGGGACGATGATGACCTTCCTCTTGGGATGGAAGACATTGAGCAACTATCACTATCGAATCGACGCGACAACCACGCTAATGCTCGCTTTTACCACACCCAATTCACTTTCCTGCTACGAGAGTTACGACAAGGCGTACACATCGACTATGCACAAAACGAAGAGGTACCGATCGAGAGTGTCATGACCTTGCCAGTCGCCGTCAGCCTGCAGGCCTGGTCTCGAATACACTTACCAAAGAAGCCAAAGGAAATCTACATGCGCCGGAAATTCCCGCTTGGAAATGCAGAGGACCCTGAGGCTTTTCATCAAGACTTTATCCTAGACGTGGAGAGTGCAAGAATGGTTGAACACGAGCATCTCGCTCCCGTCTGGGCGTCATACACAGCCAAGGGCTCTGGCTACATTGTCAGTAACTTTGTCGGTCACCACACTTTGCGTACCTTCATCGACCATCGCAATCCTGCGCAATATCAGAAACTTCCAAAGCCTGAGAGACGGTGGTTAGTGCTCAACTGGCTACACTGTTTGGCCGATACCATTGCAACACTGCATCAAAATGGGTTTTGCCATTCCGCAATCCGACCATCTAGGATACTCGTCGACGAGCAGAATGCGATCGCGTTCAGTGATATTGGCAGCCTGGAGACGTTTCAGAAAGACAAGAAGCCTGATGCCATGGATGCCTACATATACGACGCCCCAGAGGCACATGCAAGTTCAGAACCAGTAGACCTGCCTTCCTCTGTCACAGCACCCACACTATCCAAAGATCGACACGCATCTATCGCAAGTAAAAGCTCATCGGGATCCTCGAACAGCAGCGGTTCGCATCGTCAGAAGCTAACAAAATCTCCAACAACCGACTTCTCAGGGTTCAACTTTGGGTTCAAGAAATCCGAGCCTAAACCTCAGCACCGAACACAAGGGCAAGAAACGGAAAAAGCAGATGTGTTTTCTTTGGGCTGTGTCTTCTTGGAAATTCTGACTTTCTTGCTCAAGAAGAAGTCCCATGATTTCACCAAGCACCGTACATCGAAACAAAGAATCAACACGGGCGGCAAGAACTCGCGTACTGATTCATCGTATCACAAGAACCTTGACAAGGTCGAAACCTGGATGGCCGTACTAGAGAAAGCATCTCGCGAAAGCGACGATGAGGCATTTGGCACAGTTTCCGACATCTTGGCCCTTATCCGAACGATGCTCAGCAAAAACCCCATGCTTCGTCCAACGGCACGCGACGTGCGTGACGAATTGTTTGAAATCTTCAGTTGTACCTCGATGCCCAACATACACTGTGGGGCACACAGACATGACGTTGGTGTTGCATCATCTTCGCGTTCGGATCGCGACAGGTCGTCTAGTATAGCGTCACTTCGAACGGTGTCGACGATAAGTTCGACGTACTCGGATGTAGACACAATACGCTCTGGGACAACGCAAGTGAATTCCATCTTAAATTACTACTCGGACCGAGCCACATTATCTGGAATCAAAGAGGATGATAGCGTTTCCCTAGAGACGATAGACACGCCGGCCATATCGCTGAATAACGATAGCTTTCATGCGCTGTGTGGGCCAGGGCCTATTGTAGCACAGTCCGCTGAAATACCTGAACCACTACGGTCTCTCGGTTATGCCACCTCGCCCGCCTCGCCTACAGTACCTCTTTCGCCCATTTTGCCTGCTTCGCCTACTTCGCCTACTTCACCCACTGGTCCTTCTTCACTCCTGTCTGCGCGTTCCCCTAGTCCATCAAAGCAGAACACCACGACTGTCAAGGTCAAGCCATGGAACAAGCCATTTCTTTTGCTCCCATGAGCATTGTGAGTGTAGCTTAGGGCTTGACACTTGAACTAAATGACTTGTATAGCTGGGGGTTGGACGACAAGAGCTAAAGACAGGCCATATAAAGCCAGGATATTGCGGGGTCTCCGAAGGTGTGCGTCTGGAGGTACTAGGAGCCATGGCATTAATGCTACATTAGACGAAGAATAGGAAGGTACATTTGAACCCGAGGGACATATGGCTGTCCACTTGACTCGGATTGGTCATGTGCAGCACGGTTGATCAGATAGTCACAAGGCAGGCGCAACTAACTAGGGGGTAGAAGTAAAGTGGAGCGGTTCCATGCTGGCAGAAATTCATTTGCCTATTAGTGCGGTATAGGCAGCTCGGAGGGGCACAATGCGAGGATTACGTAGTTGGCGCAGCACGACATCGGAGATGTCCGCGAAGATAGAGAAGAAGAAGAGGAAGTTCTGCATGAACAGTTTCCGTTACAAGCTGCCCTACACAGGCTGCCAACATGCAGTTTTGTTTATATCTGCTGTCGACTTGATCTAATCTCAAAATGCGGGGTTTGCCTACTTACCATGCTAGTCTCCCAACCTTCCCTCACGCCCGAAGCTCCACCCGCTACGACGCCGAACGCACGCCACATTGCTTAGCCTCCAGGTTTTTGTATCGTTTTGCATTCCCCATATGTACCTCCGCCTCTGGCAAATTGACGTCACCCATCTGCGTTACATTCGAGACGGCAGCAGCCCTGGCACGACCTTTTCGCTATGCATCAGTCACGTGCTACCGCGTCACCGGAGAAATAACTGCATCCGAATATGCGCAGTACCGCAGCCAGATACTGCCGTGTCCGAACACAGGAACATCGCAGCGACAGAGCGGAATGGCTGTTGCGCGCTTGTTTGATGCGAACTGGGCGGACCGGCCATGTTTAGACCGAGTAGTGCGGGGACTGAGGATTCAACAAAGTGCCAGCCAAGGCGATCATCACAGCTGATCAGGGCATGCAGTGCTGCATCTGACACCGTGCATCTACCATCAGGATCCATCCACCGCGAAGCCGTACCATCAAGCTACCCTCCTCTAATCCTTGAACCAGCCTCTCTAGGCTCTCGTGCCCCTGTACCGGCGGCCTTTGTCAGCCTTCAGCAGTACACCAAGGACATGTTCACCAGCATAAACATGGTCAGCCGGTACTGCCATATGATGACCGCAACCTTTGTAGATTTACGCCCAGCGGACGCCGTCCTGCTATGGCTGACCGGGGCGCCCAGCCACCAGGATCATCCCGCCGCTAGTATCCCCAGAGCCAAGGCCTTTAGCATGCAGCTGCACGGCCATTACACCAGGTACAGTGGAGCTATGCTGTCATGAGTTTGTAGACCGCTTAAATACCACCTCCATCTCCCTTCATTCGTCTCTTCTCATGCTTTCTTGGATACGTGTATAGGCGCTGTGTCATAGCGTCTCTTCCCACCAAGATGCGGCTCTCCATCGGAATCATAGCGAGCTTGCTGACGTGGACGACCATTGCTTCTGGCAACAACAAGGTCGTTCCGCGCCAGAACAACAACACGGACTACCAAATTGGATTTACTCCACTCAAAACTGAATGGACTGATACCGTGGGAACCAGCCCCTGGCCTGAGTACCCACGGCCACGCCTTCAACGACCAGACTGGAAGAATCTCAATGGCGTCTGGCGATACCAAAACACCCAAAACGGCTCTGATGCTTCACCGCCGTTCGGCCAGCGACTTGAAAAGGCCGTCTTGGTCCCGTTCTGCTTGGAGAGTGCTTTGTCAGGTGAGTAGCGCCAAATCATGTACGAGACAAGTTGCTGAAGTCAGCACAGGTGTGACTGAGAAAAACCGCATCTGGAGCTGGTATTCGACATCGTTTGAGGTTCCATCATCTTGGCCAAGCGGAAACAATGTTGTCTTGAACTTTGGCGCTGTTGATTACGAAGCCACCATCTTCGTCAATGGCCAAAAGGCGGGATTTCATAGAGGCGGCTACTTTGAGTTCAGCGTTGATGTCACTTCGTATCTGAATGCCAATGGAACAAACGAGCTGTAGGTGCATGGAAAGCGAGAAAAATATAAGAAGAAAACTAACCGTTTTACAGTTTGGTATATGTCTATGACCCAACGGATATGGACCGCGTTCAAATCCCAATTGGAAAGCAGACTCTGAACCGTGGTGGAATGATCTGGTATACGCCCTGCAGTGGCATATGGCAGACAGTGTGGCTCGAGTCCGCACCAAAGGAGCACATTTCGAAACTCGACCTCACTGCCGATATGGATGGAAAGGGTCAGTCATCTGTCCATGGTGCTACTGTCTTATTACTTACATTCATCAGTCGTCGTCACTGTACACACTAGCACTAACGCGACAACTACATACACCATCGTTGTCCATGAAGTCAATTCGGACGATGTCAAGGCAGAGGCTACGGGAACTAGTGGCAGCCCATTTACTTTTGTCGTTGATTCACCTGAGCTATGGACGCCGGATAGTCCGACCCTGTACAACATCACCATCAAAATGGGTAGTGATACGGTACAAAGCTATACCGGATTCAGAACCATCTCTAGAGGCGTGATCGGCGGTGCACAGCGCCCACTTCTCAACGGGAAGTTTGTATTTCCATTTGGCACCCTGGATCAAGGCTATTGGCCCGATGGCATATACACGCCTCCAAGCGTAGAAGCCATGGTGTACGATCTCAAAGTACTAAAGAATGTCGGCTACAACATGGTCCGAAAGCACATCAAAGTCGAGCCGGCTCTGTTCTACAGGGCTTGTGACGAGATGGGCATGTTGGTCATTCAGGACATGCCTTCTTTGCGCCCGGATCTACCTGCTCGTGAAGGCTGTGGAGGCATACGGTTGGAGCCAGGTGCTCAGCCGGAATTCGATCGCCAACTTGAGGTCATGGTTGAGCAGCTGAAGTCGTACCCCAGCATCATCGCATGGACCATCTACAATGAGGAATGGGGCCAGGCCACCTCACCGCCATGGCCAGAGTTTGGGTTGACAGACATGGTGCGTCGGGTTGACCCTACTCGCCTTGTCAACTCTGTGAGTGGTTGGACCGACCATATGGCTGGCGACTTTGATGACAACCATCACTACTCGACACCCCAATGCGGAACACCGTTTTGGTCTTATCAAGGCAGCGGCTACGACTCAGCTTATGACCCCGCCCGCATCGGTCTGCAAGGCGAATTTGGCGGCATCGGCACCCAGCTCACCGAGAATAACTTTGAACACGCGTGGTACAAGGATCTTGGTCGACAAACCGCATACGAACTTACCAACGGTACCTTTTACTGGAACTACCGTTGCCACGACCTGCTTGTGCAATTGCGTGAGCAAATCGACTTGTTTGCTTGCTCAGGTGGTGTTTGGACGCAAACGACAGACGTCGAGGGCGAAGTCAATGGCATGATGACGTACGACCGAAAGGTAATTAGGATGAACGAGACAATGTGGAGGCAAGATATCCAGGCCCTATACGACGCAGCCGCGAAGCGAGGTAACGAATCTTCAATGGTGATTCGGGATACAGGGGTTGCCGGCATGCAACACGGTATATTCTAATGTCTATGGCCAAGTAGCTAGATATACATACATAATTACTCTTCTTCATTCCACATGCCCAAACTGTGCTTCCTCATCCATATGCCCAAACTCCGCCTCTTCTTGCTTTCCCGCCTCCCTCGCCCTCCACTCTCTATCCAACATCCCCAACGTAAACGAATCCCACCATTCCCCCTCAAACCACACCGCCTCCCTCTCCCGTCCCTCCACCACAAACCCTAGCCGCTCATACAATCGAATCGCACCCTTATTCCACCCAAACGCCCTCAACCTTACACTATGCAGCCCCGCCCTCCTAAACCCAAAGTCCAACGCCCAATTAATCGCTTCACTCCCATACCCTTTGCCCTGATACGCCGGCAAAATATCCAGCGCAATCTCCATAGTTCGATGATGCGCCTCATGCAACGACGACGGCGCAGAATGAATATGCCCCACCGCAACCCCATACTCGGGATCGAGAATCTGCGCCGGATTCACGCGCTTCATTTCCTCCAGCACCGCTTCTTTTTGCTCCAGCGGCAGCGACGCTATCGGCGTGTCGTGCGGGCGCCAGATGATGGCTTGCAAGAGGCTTTCTGAGTTGCCCTCGCCGGCGGAGGGGGGACCCTGGTGCATGTTTTCGTCGGCGTCTTGCTCCGTGGGGAGTTTGAGGGTTGCGTGGGTGCTCGCCATGTACATGGCTGGGTCGGTGGTTAGGGCCAGGAAGATGGGTTTGTCGCACGGGCGGATGGCGCGGTAGTGGAGGCGCGGGCTGCGCCATGGGTTGGGGTATTTGGAGGACATGGTGAGGGAATGGAATTGGGAATGTGGGAGAATGGGTCTGTTCGGGTGCTGGGAATCTATTTTACTATATATATGTTTTTTTTTGGTGTGTGAGGCTGTAACTTTGGTACGCAGATGTTACGTATGAGTACTGGTCTGGCCGTGGTAGTGCCGGCGTTGGTATTGGCGTTGGCGTTGCATTGCGTTGCGTTGCGCCCTTTTTGGTACCCCGCCCTTTTCTTGATGTTCGGAACGTGATGTTCAGACCGCGATGTGGAGATGGGAAAAGAAGAGACGAGACGCGGAGAGTGGACTGCGGCGTATAGCAGAAGCGCGCTAAAAGATTAGACACATGTTGGAAATGGGGCTTGTCACATTTAAGTTTCACAATAGCCAATGCCTGGAATCGTAGTATACAGGGGCTATAGTAGCCCTTACAGCCCATATAGCCGTGGACTAATTCAACATTCGTCATGGACGTGATAGTGTCAGTGCCACTCTCCGGGCCTTGCTCCATACTCTTACAACGAAATCTCACCCCTCCATGTGCCTTCGGTCAGACCCAGAGTCTCAATGCAATGTTGCCATCTTGGACCACCTCGCTCCTTTCTCCTCAAGTACTGTAGAAGCTTCTGTCTCCTGTGCACCAGCAACCGCAGATTCCGCTTGTTGTGTTTGTCGCCCTTTCCTCGTGTCTGTAAAAAGTCCGCTAGTGTCTTGATCTTGGCCGTCAGGATAGCAATCTGAACTTCAGAAGATCCGGTGTCTGGTCCTACTCGCTTGGCTGCTGCGGCAACGTTTGTTTCTGGGCGGACGGCGTGAGTCTCGTCTACACCGGAGCGGCTCAGAGATGGCGCTTTTGGTGGGAATATTCTGTCGGTGTTGTGACGTCCAAAAGTCTCGACACATCGTGCAATGTTGACGCGCATGCGGTCTTTGCTTGAGCCATTCTCGAGAGCCGTGATTCGCTTAATTGCCTCAACTGCACGTGCATGGTCCTTTTTGTTTTGCTCTTCAATTTCCTCTGCCGACTTTTCAATTGCCCTAGCATCATACCGCGTGGCGTCGTTCCACGGGTACGCAGCGGGCGCAGCTTGCTTTGCAATTTCACTCAGCGGCACCGCCAGCTTCTCGCTCTTCTCCAATTGCTTCTCCACCGTTTCCGGGTTGAATGCATAGTTGAGGTGTGTTCGGTCCTGGGGGATTTTCTTGCCCTCGTCGTAGGTAATGGGCTTGCCAGTGTCAAAAGACTCTACGAATGGTGTCGGTATACCGCGAACAGGGTTTCCAAGACTGGCTACCCGAGCTTGTTCGAGTTCGGCACGTCGAGACAGGTTGGCTGCCTTTTTGCGGTTGCGCTGCGCAACTATATAGGGATCACTAGCGAGACGCTTCTTTTGTCGCTCAATTGATTCGGCATTGGCCCGCGCTGTCGAAACAAAAGTTCGGATGGGGAGTGTGAATTGCGCAGAAATAAGTGGTGCTGTGGCTTTTTCAGCACTATGTACTAAATAAAAAATCTCAAAACTCACAAGCTGATACCCGTAGGCACGACAATGCTGGTATTCGTGGCGGCATCGTGGGCTGGACGCACACTCATTGCTCCCACCCGCCGTGAATCTTTTGCGGATCAGGACGTCGGCGCATGGGTTTCGCCGGCGCCGCGTCCCGTTCGGTACTATCCCGCTTCCGGCCCTAGCTCGCCCACTGCCGGGGCTCGAATATCGCCAAAGTTCGTGTGCCAAAACTTCGCCCGCACGCATCACGACAACTTCTCTATACCCACCAGCTTGTACAGCGCCAAACCGTCAAAATGGCCCCTTCCAACCTCCCCGCCATCTTCAACCCCACCCAGCAGGACATTGAGATGCTCCTCGCTGCCCAATGCCACCTCGGTAGCAAGAACCTCCAGGTGCACATGGAGCCTTACCTGTGGAAGACCAGGCCCGACGGTGTCAACGTCTTGAACATTGGCAAGACCTGGGAAAAGATCGTCCTGGCCGCCCGCATCATTGTCGCCATCGACAACCCGGCTGATGGTACGTTTGGGGCGCCCAAGTCGAGACATTTGGACATGAAGAATGCGCAAATATGCCCAAGTTCTGTTTTAGCTGACACTGCGCAGTCTGTGTCATCTCTGCCCGTCCCTACGGACAGCGTGCCGTCCTCAAGTTCGCTTCCCACACTGGTGCCACCGCCATCGCTGGTCGTTTCACTCCCGGTAACTTCACCAACTACATCACCCGTTCTTTCAGGGAGCCCCGCTTGATTGTCGTCACCGACCCCCGCACCGACGCCCAGGCTATCAAGGAGGCCTCCTACGTCAACATCCCCGTCATTGTAAGGAGAATGCGCATGAAGAAGAGTAGAGGAATCTGGAGCTAACCCCGAATAGGCCCTTTGCGACGGTGACTCTCCCACCGAGTACGTCGATGTTGCCATCCCCACCAACAACAAGGGTCGCCACGCCATCGGTCTCGTCTGGTGGATGCTTGCCCGCGAGGTCCTCCGCCTCCGCGGTACCCTCGCTAACCGCGAAACTGAGTGGGATGTCATGACTGACTTGTACTTCTACCGCGACCCTGAGGCCGAGGAGAACAAGGACAGCGCTGGCGTTGAGGAGGCCAAGGTCCCCGGTGCCGATGAGGTTGGCCCCGCCGCTGTCGCTGACGGCTTCACCAGCGAGTGGGAGGTCTCTGGCGCATCCGCCGGTGCTTTCACTGCCCAGGCTGCCGCCCCTGGCACCAGCTGGGATGCTGACGCTGCTGACTGGGCCGCCTCTGGTGACGCCCAGGCTGGCGGTGAGGGCTGGGGTGCCGAGACTGCTGCCCCTGCTACCACTACCCAGTGGTAAATGTCATGTTGAGCATGTTCGTCACTTCTTCTCTTACATACCCTGTCTTTGAACAAACAATGGCACGTCGGCGTAGGAGTAGGCAATGGGAAAAAAAGGAAATATGAGACCATTTGACAACGATCAACAAGAAATGCATGCTTGATGGGGACAGGGGTGTGTTGAAGGATATGATCAATGCTGTGCGCTTATGAGGGAAAGATATCCATACTTGTCTTCGGGTATGGGGGAAAGCCCTGTGCTGGCGATCGGGTCGTACTTAGTTGGCGCCCAATCCTTCAATACAAACCTTGTTCCCACATTGTTTGATTGCTTCTCTGACTTGAGTGTTTTTGCATTATGATCTGCTGTTAGTAACATGAGTGGTGACTGAGCTGATGCTGTATGACATGACATGTTGCTGAGCAAACGAAGGGAAAGTTGGAGTGAGCTTTTCTGTATTTGCAGCCCGGTCCTAAGCGGGGTATTCATATACATTAAAATCCGTCATGTCCTCGTTAAATTCTGCCCCCATGTACCATATACCATACCCAATCCAGTTAAGTAGACTCGAAACTATGTACACGCAGAACCTGTCGGGATGATGATATCCAAAGCTCAACTGCTCTTCCGTCCGAGGATGAGAAAAAGAGAGAAGGAATGGGTTAATTTTTTTTTACAACCAAGCAAATACAATCAACACACCAAGTAGCATAGCACCCGTGCTCCTGAGCCCCTTACTCAAACCATCTGCCGCCGCAGCAGTAGGTTGTGGCGCAGACGTATCCGCGGTACCAGACCCAGAGCCCGATTGCTTTGCTCCAGATCCAGATGTCTGTGTCGCGCTGGAACCACCGGATGTAGGAGAGCTGTTGTCGTAGTTGTGTTTCTGGCCCAGGGTGGGGAGAGCGGATGTGGGAACAACTTCCCAAGCTCCTTCCGTAAAGGCTGGGCAGGCGATAGACGTTTGAGTGGGCTTGTAGTCTGACGCCTTGATTCCCGTGGGGTTGAGGGTTTTCCAGACGGCCGAGAGGTTGGGGAAGTCTGGTTGGACGGGTGTAGGTTTGCCTAGTTAAAACGATCAGTTGGTGTGTCTTGAAAAAAAATGTCGTATTCCTCAAACATACCAGAGCGAGGAAATCCATCTGGCGGTGCATTCGGACTCGCAGGATCAACCTTGGGGCCGTAGCTGATAAGTCCGTAGTTATTCTGCTCCTCGATCCACTCGTAGATGATACTGCCGGACCATACATCTGCCATCTCGCCAAATAGTGCCTCCTGGTCTTTGAAGTCGCGCGGACGCACGGTGTTGCAGCCTGTTTCGGACATGAAGATGGGGACGGGGAGGTCCTTGGAGTTCTTTTCGAGGTTGTCGTAGCCGGATTGTTGGTACGAGCTGTCGCCGCACCAGGAGTATGCGTTGAGGGCGAAGAAATCGACACGTTCAGAGGCGTTGTTGCCGCAGGAGAGGTAATCTTGCAACATGGGGCGCAGAGAGGCGATGTCGGCGGCGGAGTAGCCGATGGGGATGTTGCGGTATCCTTTCTTATCACGGTAGGCTTTCATGTCACGTGCGGCGGCTTTGATGTAGGGTGAGGTGACGGAGCCGTTGGAGGTGGTGATGGCTTCGTTGCCGACGAAGAAGCCGGCGACGTTGTCGTACTGTTGGAATTCATCCATTACTTTGGCGTAGGCGTCGTATTGGTCCGACTCCCATCGCGGTGTGTTTTGCTCAACATAGGTGTCGAAGGTGTCGAGATCGACCCAGATGTAGACTATGTGGCTGGTTAGTATTTATGTTTTGGAAGCAACCTGCAAACAAATATGTCTTGTTATACGATATTTGCACTTTTGAAGAAAGAACATCGCAGTACAATCATCAAAGTAATCTGAGTTCATGTGTATCTTGAATATACGTACTTCCAGCGTCCGCAAAAGCCTTCATGCAATCGGTATGGTCCGCATCAGGGTCAACGTGGTAGACACGGATTGAGTTGGCGCCAATGGTTTTCATGAGGGCAGAGTCGAGACCACATTGCGTCGCGTCGATGAGCGGATCGTCTGGAACAAGCTGGTATGCGATACCTATACTGAGTTGTTAGAAAACAACTATTCTTTGACTTCGTTTTTTTTGCAGAATTGCATATGTACCCTTGACGTAGAATTGATTGCCTTCGCTAGTGAAGAGCTTGGAGCCCTTTACTTCGATTGTCGGGATAGCTGAAGCGACAGTGCTCAAGCTGGCTAAGAGCGCCAGCGACAGAGATTGAACCATTATTGCAGTTGAGCAATCCAAATGTTTTCCAGTATTTCTCTGGTAACTATTGAAGATCAAGCAACAAAACAGCTCCAGTCCCCGCTCAAAAAGAAATTATCCAGCAGCAAACGCACTGGGCTCACGAACCACCGTTACGTTATGTGCGAGACACAAGATTGCACATGAGCTCCGTAAAAGTATAAGCGAGAGTAGTAGTCGACGAAAAAAAGCAAACGACCGTAGTGTATCGAACGAACGAAGGTGTGCGTGAACAAGAGCGAAGTGAGTGAGACAGGTTTAGGCCGGCCAGCTCATGTTTATGAATGCGGCTGTTTGGAAACAAGGCAAAGGACGCCCTAGTAAGTCAACACGCCTACTTACTCCCCCAACTCCACGCCGTCGATCCTTCCAATCTCCATGACGCTTCTCGGCAAAAGGGCGCCCATAAACCCGCTTTCCATGCACTCGCACTTTCAACTCGAGGGCTAAAGCGCTGGGCTCCCTCCAATTGCACCGCGGCGAACGGGGCAAACGAAGGCGTATCATGGAAGTCGGGGAAAGAGGACAAGCGTAGTGGAGACGTGCGTGGGCGATGCGACAAGGACTGGCGTGGGCGATTGGCTGGCCGCAGTTTTAAGCCTATGCGACCCGCATGCTTGATGCACCTAAGCGGCACACGGCCGGCCTTGGGTCGATTACAGTCTATCGTCGTGTATCTGGTCGACGCGTTCACAAGAATAACAAGTTTATGTTTCGAGCTAAGGATATGCATTAACAAATATCGATTACCCACGCGTCGAACCTGCATTGCCTCTGGTCGCGTTTTCCCCCGTGCTATTTTCGAGCCGAGTTTGTTGCTTACTTATACTTACCCGTGGATGGGATGAGCGCAGTTGCACCCGTGCCAATCTTAATATCGCAATCTCCGCCGACCACCTGTCACAACAATGTGACAACTGTAGCGGTCGGTCAGTTGGAACAGCGCGCCAGACACTCCGATTGCACTAAGAATGAGGAGGCTCCGTGCCAAAACGCTAGTTGGTGGCTAGCTGTTAGCCGCTCCCCAACGTCTGTCACTGACAAAGCGTCCCAGCTTTGCTTCTTTTTCTGACCACGAGGTCATGTGGCTTGATTGGTTGGCTAAGTTTCCCCTAGGCAACTTTTGCGTAGCAATTGCATACTTATGACTTTTTCTCCTCCCTTCCCTTCAACGTGGTCCTCCCCCAGACCAGACCGAGTTGCTGGAGTCTCGCACCGAGCTTATAGGAGCCGTAGAAGCCCCGCGGAGTCCAGCCTTGACCTGCAGGTAATGTCACGTCTTTGCTATGCCCATGAGATCAGAATCGTTTTGGTGCTTCCATTGTGTGATGGTTAATGATCGGGTTAGCTTGAGCTGCAGCAATAGATAGTCGATTTTCTTTTACCAGTCTATTTTCGTCTTTTGCTAAGAGCTCATCCAAACCAAGGACTACGGAACAAAATCACACTTCACTACATCTTCTACTGTCATATCCAAGTAAATATATATACATGTATCATGTTTTAAATAAAAGTAATTATATATATAGGGTTTGAGAAATCTAGCAGTGAAAAGCAGAGTTTTGGCGGTGAATCTCTTGCACAAGCAATTATTTGACCTAGTCCCGTATGCAGTTTCGATGCCATAGAGGTTATAGTCGTTGAAGCAGGTGGTGATGCTTGGTGGTATCCATGTTCCCTCGAGAACATTGAGTTTGTTGAAAATAACACTTTTGAGCTTGAGCAGGTCGTCGCTCAGATATCCTGACCTTTGGAGGTGCATCGAGCGAAAAGCATGTTTGGCGATGCTGACTTTCAGCCCATTCATCATCTTGTTAGCCCCGCCTTCGGGGTGAGTGGGTGGCGGCTATTGAGGATTTGGGTTTGGGTTTGGGTCTGGGGTTGGATTGGGACTTGGATCTGGGTTTGGATCTGGGTTTGGAGCTGGAGTTGGCTCTTTCTGGACTGCTTGCTTTATCTTGAATCTCGGTCAGAATATGGTCAGATCTTCCGGGAGAATGGCTTACTGGAAGCAATTGCCTGAAGATTGAAGGGGCCAAATAAATGCCTACGCGGTCTGGCTGAAGCGCAATGCTTGGGTCTTTCGTGACTGCGTCAACCTATACCACATGTCAGTCGTCTTTTCAATCATTTTGTACCCTCGAAACTAACTTCGTTGACAATTTTCGTCATCTCGAGCCGACAGTCACGTCTAGCCTTGTTCAACCCTACAAACGAAGCACTGTAGGGCTCACATTCCAAAATGTTAGGCTTGAAAGAGTTCTTTTTCGGTTGCAGTTCCTGTGAATGCTCAGAACCCTCTATACGCTTGCCACTGGTATGGGTTGAGGTCTGGTCTCGAGTTGCAGGCTTCTGTGCAGGTGGGGGCTCGTTGGCGCACTCTTTGGCGTAGTCTAGAAGCTCCTTGGTGGGCGTAGATTTGACCAAATTAGTAATTCCAGATTCGAATTCCCAGTTCGTGACCTGTATATGCTTCCAGATTGACTTGTAATCCATGTAAGCATCCAAAAGCGCGCTCGTATAGATACCCGCGTTTTCGTAATCTAGCGAAATTAGCGGCTGGCTCGTATAACGTAGTTTACAAGCGAGTGACGCGTACAAGCGAGTGACGCACCCCACCAACTTTGCGCACCTCTCATCTCTTCACATACAATGGCTCGACACCAAATTACTCAATCACATTCAAAAGAAGCAGATATTCAGCTTGCTATCTCGTCTATTAATACCAAG